TTTTTGTTTCTTTACTTGTTCAGTAACTTTATTGGGAGACTTGCTGCCTATTGTCAAAACTTTACCATCCTCAAGCGTGGAAGCTTTCTTTAGCAAATTATGCAATCGTACAACTTGCTCATTCAACCAAATGGCTTGAATGTGAATTGTTTCACCTTTCATTGGGTTCCCAGCATTCCGGCTAGGCGGGGTTATGGTTATTATACCTGGACCAGTAGACCCGCCTTATAAGCTGCTGGTTTGCTTTTAAGAGAACGTAATTCGCTACCAACGAGGGAGCACGGGTCCCATCTCCATGGAGTTATAAGTTTGGAATTATAAGTATCAATGCCTACATTTGTATACATATCTATTAGCCTATCAACATATTCAATGCAAGCCGTTTCACCTTTCCTACATTCGTCTGACTAGGGTCAGACTCGGACTGACATGATGATGTCTGCATTCGTTTACTTTTCTTGTTCATTCTGCTGTATTACTAACTTCTCGATGTGTTATTTTTTATGGAACGCCTTGAGCGTACAAATGAAAATGAAAATGAAATATGCATAGCTCTTCCACTATGATATGCATTTAAACATAGCACACGTCATTACAAAAAGCTACTAACTTCTCAAATTTCCATCACTCTGGGTTTTCCTTTATTTGCTAAGAGCTAGAATAATCTAAGAGCATCGAGTTTCAAAAATTGTTCTCTTGCAGTTTTATGCTTACCCAGCTTTTACCACCGCTGTATCGTTCAGTTAGACTAAGTACGTGTGCACAGCTGGTGGTGTACAAAGATATTCTCGTTCACAGAAATTGACTTTTCATTCAATGTACATAGTACACTTAAAGCACATAGATTTATGTCATGATTTGTATAAAAATTCATGGTTTGTACTTATTTTCCAAAATAGTTAGTTTACTCATTACCCAAATATTTTTCATATTTCCTCGTACTTAAAATTCTCATTTTCTTTTACTTCCAAGTGCTTTAAGCATGATTCATTTCTTTCCCATTCTCCACTCGAGCATTCTTGCCAGCTGTAATTACGTACGAAGGAAACGATGATGTTTTGTAAGTCATTAGATGTACCTAGCAACCGTGATAGGTAGCCGCACAAATCATTCCATACATCAACAGCTAGCAAATGATCAATGTCCAGTCGTCTAAAAATTTATATATGATGTTGTTTTCGCTATAAGTCTTCAGCTTTTCGCGTTTCCATAGGAGCGCTGTTCGTTTCGCGGAATTATGGGAAAGCAATGGCGTAGTATACGAAGACGGTCTGAGCTGTACTCACTGTATGTGCCATTGCATATAGTGATATTGTTGAGATTCTTCTGTTTATTGAGACTCTCAGACTCAGCTAAGGTAATCCTTATTGTTGGGACTTTGATTTGGCGCCAAAGTTCTGCACAATTTCCAAAAAAAGAAGGCTTCAGGAAATGATTAACTTTCTGTTTTTTCTAATTTGTAAAGTAGGTAATAAAATCCTTATATCCATTTTTTTACATAACTTCTTAGGTCACAATTCTACGCTGAAATGCCAGACAAGAACGGGCACTGCTCAATAAAGACTAGGTTTTTATGCAACCGAGTGTTTCAGAATTTACTGCAAAGCTGTAAATTTTTCAAATATTTTGAGGCTACTTCATTTCAAAATATCAAGACTTGAGTAGCTCTCTTCTCTATCCTTCGGTATCGAAAAGATGTTATTAGTAGAAAACGCTCAAAATTTGCCGCAAACACGACTTAACTTTTTTTGGATAAAGTTAGAATGAATATTGCTTGAGATCATTGATTTACGATTTTTGAAGGCTGTAGCGATGAATTTTATTTTCAATCTGAATTCTTTTTTCGACTTTGACTTGCCTTGTAACCATAAATAAATGAATGAGGGGGAGGGGGGCTGAAACTTACATACATGATTTATATGTGCAAGTGGTTCGTTTAAATTGTAATGATTATTTTCAAATTTTTTGAAAATTTAAATCAGCTTTGTGGAAAATTGCGGACGTGGTTCCGCTACGCCTCTCTTTTCTCAAATCCCTTGGTTACAAGCCCACTCAATTGCGAAGCATTCTAAAAAAACCTTAGAATGTGTCACCCTTCATTCGAAAAAAGTCTTTGTCCCCCCCCCCCCGCTCTCCCCCTCCTTCTCCACCTCCTCCTCCCGGAAGAACACTGCTTCAGATGAGTATTATTTTAGTCTTAAATGCACTGAAGCTCGATTATGACTATTGTAACTTTTTTCTTTTTACTCCTGCTCACCCATGCTCTCAGCACCCAAACTCAAGCTGCGAATAATTTTTATACAAATCAGATCATTCTCCTCGAAATGATCTATGGTCGGTTGGAATGCGCGATGTGATTTTCAGTCGAGAACGAAGTTTAATTCTCAATGAACATTGCATTAGGGAGTGTTTAGACTTCAAAATGCGATGCCTATGCATTTGTTCAAAGTTTAAGTTTTTTTCTTTGCAAGGGGTCCATTAGAGCAGCTGCGTAGGAACCTCAAACAAAAAATATGTGCTTTCTCAAAATTTTGGCAGACTATGTTCTCAGCAGCAAATTTTTGCAGATATAATTATCTTTTTCAACTATACAGCAGCATATGCTTTTGCATTCTTTCGCATTTCTTTTGCATAGGCAAGCACAATAAAGGCGCCCATTTCTTACCAATCGTGAGAAAGAAACATGCTGCGCCTGCGCCGTTCGACGACGCTTTATTCTCAAGTTTTGATTTCTGTAACGCACAACAATATTCAGGTGAGAAATTTTACGCTGCTGATCTCCCTTCCATTTTTTCGCTTCGAAATTCACTACGGCGTATTTTAAAACGTTTTTTTTGCTCGACATAGTTACAAAAGAAACTATATCTAGTGCTGAGTCAACTGTGTTACTAGTTATGTTCATATATAGGTCTGGTTTAGGACTAAGGTCGTGTAAAGTGCGAAACTATGACATAATCCCTCATAGGACATTAGTACCCGTTAATAATTCTACAGTTGAATGCCTGAAGTGAGTCCAAAAAGCATTAACTTAGACATGAACTGGACTATCTGTTTCCTGGTAATTTTAAAGGAAACTGTGGAGTTTTTTTGTTTTCTCTGTAGTTTTTGCATTCTTTCACAAACTAGGGACCAATTTATACCTTCTAACAAACACAAACTTGTTCAATCCTCATGGTTTGTGAGGTAAAACACAAAACTGGAATTGTATAAAGATGCATAAATATCGCTTTTGGGATGTTCGTAATGTTTGTGGCTGAAAATATTTGAAAATTTTCGAACTCACCAGCATATCAGTAAAGAGCATTGACTCGTTTGCAATTACGATCATCCATTTTTGCTCAAAATTTAGACTTTTCTCTAGGCGGATTGACATCCACTCTCTTCGTCAACTTTCAACAACACTACTACTTTACATGACCCCTTCGTCAGAAAAAAGTCACTTGGCCAATTGGGTTAAAGCAGTCTTACACTTTTTTTTCTAAAATTTTCTCAAACTAGATTTGATAATTCGTTTGTTATAATGCAAGCTAGAAAGGAAGAATCATGTGTTCTTCAACGCTGCTCAAAGCAAAGGTTATTGTTGTAATATCGCTCTGTAAAATCTGTTAAATATTAGGTTGGTGCAAAAGTAATGCGCGTTTTTCTAGCCCTTATTTCAAGAAGCTTTTCTCCATCGAAGTTTCTCCTATGAGCCTTATGCAGCATACCTTGAAGAAGCTTCTTTCATGCTCTATTCAATGGTGGTTGAAAGAAGCTTTTAGCCTTAATCGTTAAAAATTTATAGAGCATTATACAACCGCACTCGAAACCAGAATTTCATTGCACTTACTTTTTTGGCCAGAATTTGAGCGCGAAAAATCGCATTCTTTTGAAAATTTGATTGCTGTATGTAGTAAAAATTTTCTACGTTGTGCATGCTTTGCTGTTTTCTCAAAAATGATTTAGACTGAGATTTCGGTGCCCCAACATGAGTGATGGTTTTGAACATTCCGTGGCCCATAGATTTCCTTTAAGGAGGCAATCGCCAAAGTTTTGCTCATTCCTGTAAGCGTAAGGGTGGACCTCCTGTCGACAGTTTTTGTAGAAACGTGGAAGCTGTTCAGTGCACAGAAAATGAAAAATCTCCATATTTTGGGATTTTGAAGGCTACGAAAAAATGACGAAAAAAGCGGACTATTTTGAATATTATTTTTTCCTTTCCTCAAATCTTCTTTGTTTGAGCTCCTTTCAACTTTTGTTTGTACTACTGGCTTGCGGCTGCAAGATAGTCAACTTTTCATTTCTACCAACAAATCTGGAAGGAAGTTATGATCAGTTGAAAACGAGGTTTCCGAAAAAAAATATTTTTGCTTATCAATCCATATTTTTCACCGTTTTGCAATGTTAGCACAAATTAATGTGTGCTGTATGGAGAGAGGTTTGGTGCTTCTGATGGACTTTGCCGCCCCGAAAAATATGGATTTTTTAGAAAGTTATAGCACGTCAAACTGAGAACTCGCAAAACGCGCATTACTTTTGCACCAACCTAATACAAACAACCATTGCTAAAAATGCTCAACAGTTCCTCATTTCATTTTTGCTTCTGGGTGATTGAACAACGCTTGTTCAAATAAGGTAATTTTGTATCAAAGGTGCATCTACGGAAAGTTGTTTCTGGTCATCTTTTTTTTTGAATTCTGATTTTGTTCAGAATCTGATCTTCATACTTGAGATACCATCTATTACATACAACGTCACAAACATAAAAGGGACTGAAATGGCATTTTCAAATGAATTTCTGAAAATCTGTGCAGGACGTATGTTTCCCTAGTGAAAGTGACCACATCAACAGAACTGAATGTAAAATTTATCATAAGTACCCGATTACGTCATGCTTTAGCAATCGCAGATTTTATATCCTACTTCATACATCGCAGCTACAAATTTTGTTTTTTATTCGCACATTTCATAAAAGAACCTTATTATATGAATTGTGTCTGCTACATTTAGCTGAATGTGGAATGGAGATAGTGCGCACATTGCTCAAACCTCACGAAAACTTTACTTACGATGAGGATCAGCGTATCCCGGAAGTTCGAGTGTGGTTAAAAGGTATGCCTTCGAAATTCTATGATACGTCTTCATAAGTTGTTTTTGCAGAGATAGACACCCTCTATGCTACTTTTCTCACATTCGCTACCATCTTCACAGTGATAGTATGGCTCCTAGCAGCCGTTCAATTGTACCATATTATACGATATGTTAGTAACGCTAGAATACAAACAGATCTCTACTACTTGGCCCTTATGTTTCCGGTGAGTCAGAACACTGAAAGAAAAAAGAAGTAATTCCAATTTCTGCAGGTAACTACAGTCTGTAACATGGCAGGAATGTATATTCCACGTGCAGCTCTCTTCCTTTATGCTGTAGCTCTTGTGTAAGATTACCCACTTCAGTTCTTTAAAATGTACCATAACCACCTTCTAGGTATTTCATGTTTTGTCTTTTTATCGTGGTTTCATTGCTGTTCAACATATTCGGAAGCAGAAAGGAGATGTCCGATTATCTCTTGGAGAAGTGAGTTCAGAAATATAGTATGCAACAAAAATAAAAATTTCTTTTAGAAATATTCGAATCTCGTTTAAAGTACCTCCACTATGTTGTCTCAAATTTTTACCGGATGTTCCGAGCACTGAGTGAGTTTATAAATTCTAAAAATAATGGACTTAATTTTGTGCAATACTTTATGATGTTGAATTGAAAATCCGTTTTCCTGAAATAAGCAAGCAAGCAGAAATAATTTTATGACGATTGAAATTCAGCTCATGAAAGCTTATGTGATGTGTTTTTCAGCCAAAATTTACGACGAGTTGAATGGCTCGTCTTTCAAACCCCAATCCTTCGTACGGCATTTGAACTCACTAGCGTTGTTGTCTTTATGGAACTCAATCATCGTCATAACTTGTGAGTGTTACGATCCCGACTTCTTATTTTTTACAAACACCCCAAATTCCTTTTTGTGTCCATCTATCAAGGTTATAACTATTTGTATATCCGGTTTTTTGCGTGAAATAATGTCTAACCAATGTCAGCTGATAGGAGTGATCTTGAAAAAAAACACATAAGATCCCATTTTATTTGTTTTTTTTAATTTTCCGTCAAAAATGCAGTTTTTTTATTGCGAAAGCTATTTTAGATGGTTCATGTTCTCACAACTCTTCGGTTTGATCTCTATGTGCGTAGCATTTTACGGCTGTTATGTGATGGTGCCACTGGGAAAGGTAAGTATTCAGATTTCTATACTTTAAATTGTGCAAAACAAGCGGTGTTTTTAGAGAACAATTTGTTTTTTTTCTTTTTCTCCTCTTCCTTCTCCCTCTCCTCCTCTTTTTCTCTATCAGCCGCTCTCATAACGGTTGCAAAATGTTGTGATTTTTTTTATTGAGTTGAAAATCACAGCATCAAAAAATTAGAGACAAAATAGCACCAATTTAATGAATCGTAAACGTACTAGTACTAATTTAGAATCGTATACATGACTCATGGAATATTTTATCTGATTTTAGGAAAAGGTTGCTCCATATCGATTTATGCAGCTGTTCACCATGGTGGATATCGCACAATGTTTGTACACCATCCAAAAGTTCTGTTTCGATTTTGCTGCTTGTTTTGGAATCATTACACCTGACCGTTTGTTGACTGCAGCGGCAAAAGCACAATGTCAGTTTACGCACACATTTTTACCAAAAATGGTCGCATAAAAATATTTTTTATAGTTTGGGCATCATTTATGCTGACATGGGAGATGATGACATTATCGGCCATCGCCACATATTTGCTACGGCCATCGCAATCCATTTTCTTCGACAATTATCCGATCGTAGATTCCACCTGCTTGCATAATGGTGAGATTTCAACATAAGTTTATGCTGAGGGGATTTTAAAATGCTATTTAGGGAGCACTCAGACCATAAATAGTTTTGTTCCTACAATCATGGACCGTAGGGCCAGCTATCAATTCGATTCGATTGAAGAAGACAAGATTGTTGTGCGAAGGGATTCTGGACCCAAAATAATCTAGGATAGATTCAAACCAGCTTTTGAATAAAAGAGGATTTCGGATTAGTCGCGAAGGATAGCACGCTAGTGGATTTTTCAGAAAGCAACTTATAACAATTGATGATGACAAATTCTTTTTATTGTATCGCACGATGAGTCTCAATTTTTGAAGATGTACAAAATGTTTAGCTACATTTGTCTAACAAGTAGAAGCTAATCCCCCTTCAAAGGATTTTGTGATCAAATCTGGGTCAAAATCCGGTAGTAAATGTGCATGTACTAGTCAGTGTATGGCATATTATGCATTCTGTATGTTTTTTGCTCGATTTCTCTCTGTTTTGCTTTGTCTGAAATAAAATGAATCTTACCTCCAATAATTGCAATTATTTTGACAGTTACGGCTTGTAAATGTCAATACTTCAAACATCTTAGCTAAACAAAGGCCTCCTACAAAGGAGGAGGTGCTTTCTGTTCATATAACTGAATATCTATTATCTTATTTCGGTCTATACCTCTCTGGAAGCGAAAGATAGTGTAGGAAGCTTTCTACGAAAACTGAAGACCATTATTTTCCTAATTCTATTCGCTGGCTCCAAGAACAAGTTAAAAGTTTCAGGAATTGTATTCGAGATAAACCTATGAGCCTTCCACAGAATAACTTTGCGCATTAGGTAGAAAAGAAGAAAGAACAATAGTATACAATGAATTTTGGCAGTTTTATTAACCTTTCGTGAATGCCTGCTATATGCTCTCTCTTTAGTAAGACTACGTTAGCAAACAGTTCTACAACGATATTCTCGTATCATTATCAATCAACTTATAAAAACCGTAGTTTGAGCATTACAATTCATTTCGCCCTTTTTCACTATACAGGTCGTCCAGGCAAATTCTCTGATAGGCAAGTTTGCTGCTTGGTCCATTTGCCCAAGGCATCAGAGCAATAATATATTCCTTGAAGAAGACGCATTCATTGGGGGCAGCAATCATTTCGAACGCATGATCGCTGGCAGGATAATATTGAGTCTTATACAGTACCGCTTCTAGTTTGTGCAAGGACGCAACACAAGACGTAGGGTCCCACCGCGACTCTGCATCTCAACATCAGCGGCAGGGTCCAACTTTCAAAGTTAAGGCTGCGTTCATACTGATCCCGAAGTTCGGAAACGGTTCCTGCACAGCGCTCAGTTCGAGCTGTTTCCGTACATCGGGACTAGTAGGAACGCAGCCTAAGAACTATTGAAAAGCTGTGACATTTCTTGCTCTGCAAGCTACATTTTTAGAATCAGCCGGAGGGATAAGCCCAGGTAGGCGAAAATTTTTTGTTTCAAATTCTGCCCAGATTCCATTTTTAAAGGCAGCGTCCAAGCAAATCTGGACATATGGGGATGTCACGTGGATGGTAGTTTTGGGGCTCTAACTATGCCACTGCCCAACCGGCAACTCAAGCAGTGCTCTGACGGCTCAGATATTCCCCTTGAAACTCAATCTAGACCCCGGGATCGTATTTCGCATGGATTCATGGCGCAACCCATCAGTTTCGAGTGGGTCCTTGAGCGCAACTGATCGGTTGCGCCAGGAATCTATGTGAAGTACGATCCTGGGGTCCAGTTTAGGGGCGTATATCTCAGCCTTTAGTGAGTCACCTGCGCTGCCGCTTGGGCAGTCCTAGTTAGGGGCCCAAAATTACTTTCCACGTAAATCTCCATAAGCCCACACTAGTACGCCATCATTCGTCAACCCCCTTTGGGTAGACGGTGCCTTTGAGTACTCTATATAAACCTACCGTAAGCAAAAATCTGAAGGGATTTGCGGGACGTGGCTGCCTACCGTGCTTCCACCGCAACCAAACACGGATCAAGATGCCCCTCGTCGAGCTGAATTATATGCTGTCAAGTGATCCAGGTTTCGTCCACCCTGAAGCAAGATGTGGCCTCGCTACTGTGGGTTCACCCAACTCAGGTGACCGTTGCGTCTTCTTGCAAAAATTATGAGCGGTGTAGTTGGTAATGAGTAATTCAGTGTACATCGGTATTTTTACATGTTAGTTGGCCCGAGAAATGAAAACCGCGTATTTCGCTAAAACTTTGTTCAAAGGGGTTATTTTGCACGCTGATCACGAATATCACATTTGTTTCGCACGCTAGTGCCATACGATGAGGTTACGGTAGGACCACTGCAGGGAGTCAAAACCACCGATCTGCCCCAAACTTCGTCTAGGCGGGAGGCACGCTGAGCATGAAAATCATATTCGTCTCGTACGGCAGCGGGTTACGGTGGGTAACGTGGAAGACTAATAGTCCCTAGTTTGCTCAAAAGCTTGCCTAGAGGGGTTCTTGAGCACGCTGATTACGAGTATCATGCTCTTTTTGCGTTTTGGAACTTCTCGCAGAATTTAGACATATGTAAGGTACGTGACCAAAGTGATGGATCTGCTTGAACCTTTGTGCAGGGGTTTTTATCTGACGTGCTGATTACGAATATCGCACTCGTCTTGCACGATAAAGCCTTTTAGTGGATTTTTGGGATCTAAACTTGGCTGAAAAACAGAAAATTTCTCTTTCGCGCACTGCGGCTCGTCGTAATTCCAACAATAAGGCATTGTTGCAGCGAACGAGCATGATATTTGCAGTCAGTGTGCTTAAGAGCCTCTGACAAAATTTTCAGCAATTTCGGGAATCCTAGTTACCTACTGTACACTCATCGTAACTCAAAAAATGGCGCTACCGTACGATATGGATATCGGTTCATGTTCAGGGTGCCAAATAATCCCCTGGATGAAGTTTGGGCCAGATCCGTAATTCTGACCCCTTCCATAATCCCGCCGTAACTCCACCAGATGGCAGACTGTGCGAAAGTGCGGTAACCTCTTCAGGCATCGTAATCAGCGTACAGAGTAACCCTTTTGGACGATTTTTCAGCGAAATCCGCGACTTATTTTTTGGGTCAATCAATGTGGAGTAGCGCCGTAACCATCTTCCATTGTTCTTTTATATAGAAGGCCTCAAGCGTACTGAATGAAAGTGAGATGAAATGAATAGCCATGCTCATTATAACCGAAGGCAGTTAAACTAATGTGGCAAATGTGCATTGGTTAGAGGTTAGGCTAACAAAGTGATAATGTCGAAATCGATCACAATTGATTCATCGTATTTGTCGCTGACCTCAGAGTATTTTCGCACAACAAAATGCAAATTTACAGTTCAATGACACATGGAGATAGTAAAAACTTTTATAATTTCATATAACTCGACGTTTGATGATCTTCCGCTGCCTGAGACACAAATTTGGTTGCAAGGTATAATACAATTCAAAGCATTTCTTCGAGATCGAACAATTCTCCTAGGTATTGATCCATTTTATGCCGCTTTGCTTGCTTTGGCTTTCTTGTTCACGCTATTAACCGTTCTTTTGTCACTTGTCCAACTATACTACATAGTGAAGTATATCAGTAATCATCGCATTCAAACAAATTTCTATTTCCTCGTATTTATGTTTCCGGTATGTCACTAAATTTTTTTTCTTCGTTTGTCCAAGCGCTCGTCCAGATCGCAGCAGTCTGTAACGTTTCGGGTATGTTCATACCACGTGCAGCAATATTCCTCTATGCTTTTGCGCTTGTGTGAGTCTTCAAACCTACAAGCTACGAAATCTCACTCGATAGAAGGAAATTTCTAGATATCTGTCAGTATGCCTATTTGCTGCCATTTCCCTATTGTTTAACATATTTGGTGGACGGAAACAAATGTCTGAATATTGCATGAAAAGGTTTGGGACATGCTTTGCTTCAAGAATAAGAAGGTTCTACTTTATGACTACCTCATTTTTCCCAACATCCGCACTGAAAGCTTTATCTCTCCCCCCCCCCTCGAAAATAACTTGCTAAATCGAAGTTATCTAAAGAGTTGAAATTATGCAAAAGACTTGTTTTGTTATCAATACAAAAACGTTCTGAAAGTTTTCAAAATTTGTACTCAGCAATGTATCCCATCCATGGCTTAGAGCAGAGTCATGCGATTTGATCGCGCGATTCAATCGCTACAAGACAAGTGTAACAAAATCATGGCATGACGTCTTCTTGCATTTCGGATGTGATATTTTTCCGGCACGACTAATCGTGACTAATTATCACAATCGAAATACAAGAAGGTCGGCTTCAATAGGTGGGAACTCTTCTGCCCAGATCCTTTTCCCCTTGCCCAAACGCGCATATTGAACGAAACTACCAGAGCTTGGCTGAGATTTGTGCTCTACAAAAGTTCTTCGTTCCAAAGTGGCAGGCGGGGACGGGGCGAAGGGGGACAAACGCCTGACTCGATGCCTAAGTGGCATTGCAAAAGGAGTGCTGGATACGTACGGTAGCTGTCGGGTTGCGGCATCCCTTCGCGACAATTTCGAGCCAACTGTACCTCCTGACCGTCCCCCATTTTTTCACCTAGCCACGGACTGCATCAGCTTTGGTCCAACCGTATTAACTACTAGCTGGCATTCCCAGCTTTACCCCGGGCGTTGTCTCAGTTAAAGGCAGTGTCCGGGCAAAAACTCGAATTTGAGATTTTGTGCTTATTCGGGCCTATTCGCTGCGCTGAATCCGAAAATGCGCACTGGAGATCGCGAAAACGGCGAAAAAGAGCTCTAACACAGGAGAGAAGTGAGCAGGAGAGCGGGGTTTTCCCCACGTAAAATCACGCTCCCAGCTTCCGGAGCGATCTTCTCACCTCCGGTTTGAGATCCATCGTTCGCGCTCGGCCGGTGGTGAAGCCAGGACGGCTAGCGGAATCAAGAAAATCGCTCCGGAAGCTGGGAGCATGAATTTCCAATGGGGAGGACCCCGCCCACTTGTTGTTTCCCTTCTGCGTTAGAACCCTTTTTCGCCATTTTTGCACTTTCCAGCGTCGATTTTCGGACTCAGCATAGCGAATAGGCCCGGGTAGGGACAAAATCTCAAAATCGAGTTTTTGCCCGGACACTGCCTCTAACGCATAGTGCGCTGCAAACTTGGACCAGGCTCACCTACTACAGCCTTGTGCCGCCGCATCCCTTACCGTGAAGTGAGAATGAACCCTACCGACAATGTTCAGGCTAAAGCGTTTGGTAGCAAATGAAAGGAATTCGTTTTTGTTGCAAAGTGCTAAAAATCAATGAATCAATAGAATGGCCCAACAAATCGCCGCAAAAAGTAGCCTGTCATTTGCGCAAGGGTCGGAAACATATATGTGTAAAGTTACAGCTGATTCGATTCAGCGGCGCGCGTTTCTATAACGCACACACCCTCCAAACTAACTATTTTTGAGTTATATTAATACCAGTTTCATTGCCACCATTAGTCACGAATTAGAAAGGCATATGAAGTAAGACCAGTACACTGGTCTTACTTCATATGCCTTTCTCATTCTTGACTAATGGTGGCAATGAAACTCACCGGGCAGTACCGATTATCGCGACTAAAATGTAAACAACTACCCATTCCAAATGCTATTTCATGTAAGATCGGTGATTTCGCGTGGATGAAACTTTTCGCAAAAGAACAAATACAAATTTGAACAGGTTTTAGGACTCTTTCTGGCTTGGTAACTGCCTAAGGACAGTAGGCGACGTGAACTACGTCTCTGTGCAAAATTTTTCTCAAATGCTCAGGTAAAACCATGGCAAATTGACCATTTACGCAACAATTTCTTTTTGGCGTCGTTCTCGTAAAGTAGTAAACTTTTATCCACTTTTTTGGACTAAAATCCATGGCCTGCACATTAGCATGCCAAACACATACCCGACTTTGCAAAAAGTGGTGATACGGAAACAATTTTGCTGGCCAGAACCCAAGTTGCTCTGTTTGACGCGCAGTTTCTGAGGGATCCGCCCAACAAAATCACTCGTGCTTTTGCATAGTGGACTTTCATGATGGTTGCATACGCCGTGCAAAATTTTGGCTCAGAACACTGGCTGGAACACGTTCTACGAATTTCGTAACGGACAGACAGACACACACACACGTACAAAAAGACGTAAACAACCCTTAGCCCGTTATTATAAGTCATAATGATAGAGATTTACAGGCTCAAGGGTACACGTTCAAAGTCATGAATAACCAAAACAAGCGTTTAATTTTGCCGCAATTATACTACTCTCCATCGATCCCGGCTGACGTGTCCTCATCCGACTCCCATTTCAAGTCTACTACGAGGCACTTGGCTACCACTAAAAAGAGGCAGAAATTTCAAAGTTGTCTCTGAGCAGCAAGCTTTTGGCGGATTTAGTTGTAAAAGAAGGAAAATGAAATCAAATCCGTTCGCGTAAGCTGGATTAAATTGCCTCAAGAAAAACCGGAAGCTAACAGATGGTAGTTTGAGGAATATCCGAGAATTTCTTACAAATTCTAACTTTGCTTTAACAGCACTAGATGGCGTCCCCGGTCCTGCCCAGGAAGCGGGCTCTAATGCTGGTGGAAGGCACCAGTGGTTGTATTCATCATTGATACCTTGAGGTAAATTCTACCTCCAGGTAGTTTTATCACTTATTATCAGCAAGTACCCGTATTCACAAAGTACCTTGAGGTAAATTCTCAATTTAATTTTGCTGATAATGAGTGATAAAACTACCTGGAGGTAGACTTTACCTGTATCAACGATGAATACGGCCACAGGATCCAAAAGTGTCAAGAATCATTACCCCTATTTTCTGAAAAAAGCGCTTCTGCGATATATCTCGCTGACTTAAAGCACCGGATCCTCCTAGCCACAAAATGTAAATGATCTTTACCACCCCGCCTAGCCAACTATGATCCAGGAATGATTAACAACTTTATTAATTTGCATGTAAGTAAACAAACCAATAAATCGATCGAAGGACCCAGCGATCTTCGCAAAAAGTAGCCTATTTTTGCGCCGTGCCCTATTTATAGGAAAACAAATTTCAGCCTCATAGGCTCAGAAACAAAAGTATAGGCCACATAATTACTAACTAGCAAATAGACAGAATTTGAGTTTTGTTTATATATAGATTATCTGCTCAAATTGTTTCATCTGCGACTTTAAAAATTACGTACTTATGTCCTTATTCTACTCTTGTGTCAGTCAATAGTGAGTACTCATTCTTGCAGGAACATTCCCATTTCATTTCGCATTACTCCCCTATGCTGCTTGAGTTGTCTTCCATATGTTCCGTGCACAGAGTGAGTCTGTAGTACTATGAGTGAAGCACTATGGCTCTTGTATCGAGCGAAACATAGAAAAAACCTGCAACGGATTGAATGCCTCGTATTTCAAACGCCTGTTCTTCGAACCATCATTGAAGTAAACAGTGTTGTTATTTTTATGGAGCTTGGACATCGGCACAATCTGTAAGTGTTGCGTAAAGTACAACAACTTTCAAAATTTCCCTCCTCCCCCACCGTACATGTGACTATTTGCCTAATAGTCACATGTATCGGGGGGGGGGTTCGAATAATTTTGTAGGATAATTTAAATACGAATTAGTTTGATCAGAATGTCTTTGCAACGATTTTCAGAGCAGCGAGAGAACACTAGTGCGAGTGGAAATAGACCACGAACTTACAGGGGAAGCGTCTATAGTCGAGTGGTCTTTTTAGATGAGACCCACACTGCTTTGGATAGCTCTGCTCAGTGAGTCCAAATCTGCCTTCGTTATCTGCCAAGCGCCTCTAAACGCCGACTTATGAGCGTTTTTCGGGTCATAAAATTGAATGCAAAACTGAGACAAAATCGCCCAAATTTGCTCAAATGGTCCAATGTCGAGTATCAGAGCAGTTCATGCGATGGATACATTCGGTCTAATATGCTAATATTCAACCCTGCTTTATCTGAACGCTGGAAAGATTATGACATTCGATTTGACTCGCATTTTGCGTTCATTTTTTGCTCCAAAAAACGGTCATAACTCGGCGTCCAGAGGCGCTTGGCAGATAATGAAGGCAGATATGGGATCAGTGTGCAAAGCTTTTCAAAGGTGTATGGATCTCATCTGAAAGGGCCACTCCGACTAAACACGCTTTCCTTGTTAGCTTCGCGCACACTACGCCAAAGCTTAATTCCATCACCGGTCTAACCGACATTCCTCTGCTCGCAGTTCCATGTCAGGCCCTTTGCATGGCCCGCGCTGTCAGGCCCCTTGCATGGCCCTGGCCCATTTCAATCACCATGCAATTTGGTACTATGCCAAATGTTTTTGAATTTGGCGAAAAGTCATATAAAAAGAGATCGCATTTGTTGGGGATTGATCGTTAGTGATAACAGTGTTGTTATGTAAGCATATTTGGTATGTACAGCTATGACAGTATGGGCAGCTCAATTTGTCTTTTCGAAAATAAAGGAATCACCTGGCCGTTCTCAAGCCACAACGAGTTCAAATACGAACTTCAGAGCACAATCTAGATGTTCCTTGGAAGTAACGCTGTTGTCTAGAGCTTGACGCAGAAATTGCGATGGCTTAGACAAAAAAGAAAGAGTTCAGTGCGGGAAATAGGTCTCCATAATGCAAAAATGCTAACGAGGGAAGGATACTTGGTGACCATGGCCTTTTGAAATGTAACGTATACCATTAAATGCATCTTAAAGCGCTGAATCCAAATCTGTTTTCGGTATCTGCTGTGCGGTTTTCCGAAAGAAGTTATGAACATTTCTTGCCACAAAAGTTTGCACTGTTTTTGATGCAGGATTTACCAATATCGTTAGAATATTCGCTTACGCGCTACAAAAAAGCGTCAAAATAAAGTAAAGCTTTACGTTAAGCTCAGAAAAACTGTCTTTGATAAATCAGAGTCTAAAAAGCCTGGATGCTAACGACTCTGACTGCCTAAATCTCGTAAAATCAATATAGAAAAAAGTCCATAATTTCGTTCACAGAGTCGCACAGCAAATAACGAACATAGGTTTGGAATCAGCGTTTCAAGGCGCATCTACTGGTATACATCTCATTGCAAAAGGCCACGGTCACCAAGTATCCTTCCCTTGTAAGACGTAGAATTATGAAAAAATCATACTGCATCCTTAATCATCTCACCTAGATTTCCAAAAAATTGAACCATTCTTGCAGTATCGTTGCTCTATAACATTATGACAAGCATTAGCGTCCTGGCATGTAGATCACTATTCAGTCAAAGAGATGTTCTTGCAGGTGGTTCATGCTTTCTCAAGTGCTTGGTATAATCTCTCTTGTTGTAGCATTTTATGGTTGCTACATAATGATTCCTCTAGCAAAAGTGAGGACTTTTGGTGATTTGTGCGTGATAACACAGTCGTCTTTGATGCTGGTTGAATCTGAACGCATTGTAGAGAATGAATTTCTATACGGCTGTCGTACGCCACCGTGTGCAATTCAAAAATTTATTCTCGCGCACTCTCTTTCTAACCAATTTGTATGGCAGGCAACCAAAATCGCACCTGATTTTGATCACTATTCCGGGCTGTGCGCATATCAATACTTATATAATATTTGGATAAGCACTTTTTTTATGACCGGCCTGAAATGGTAGAAAGAATTAAGGAATTTGGACCAAACTTTGCACAGATGAAATTCTGGGTGGGCGAGTGTCACTAAGCTTTTTCAGCGAAAATCGCTAAGTGGCGCTATCGATTTATCGATTTTTTGCGTTTTTTGCCTAGCAATTTCGTTATGACCGGCCTAAAATGTTAGAAAACTTCATTAAATTCAAACAAAACTTTGCACACATGAACTTCGGGGTGAGGCGGGTGTCACTAAGCTTTTTCACCGAAAATCGCCAAGTGGCGTTATCGATTTATCGATTTTTTGCGTTTTTTGCTTAGCAATTTCGTTATGACCGGCCTAAAATGTTAGAAAACTTCATTAAATTCAAACGAAACTTTGCACACATGAACTTCGGGGTGGAGCCGGTGTCACTAAGCTTTATCACCATATAGAGGTTATCGATTTATCGAATTTTGGGTTTCAATCTCTGTTGAGGTGAAAACTGGCAGGAAGGAATAGCTAAGCATGGCCAATTCGAATGAAATATCTACAACTTTAACCACTAAACTTTTTAAACCTTTTTTCTTAAATTTTTGTATGCCACATTCTGGAGGCTAGCTGATATTTAACTATGCATTGACCTTTCGCAACGGGTTTTGTCGACTGCATAGCTCATCAACAAAATCAAAATGGTTCATCCGCGAGATCAAATATGACCACCAAATCAAAATACCCTATCCCGGCCTTACGGTTCATTCATACCATGCCTTCATCGGTCGTACCTCCTTCAACTTTTACACCCGAAACATGGCGCCGACATTGACCCCCTAGCAATGGACCCTCCACCTCCACACCTCAGTCGCAGGTGCACATCGCCGAATCCGAGGCCGTACTGCAAGGCGCACTTTTGAAGCCAGCGTAGCCGTCTTCGTCGTAGCCGAGAAATACAGAGGCACGAGAACGGTGTCTTGCCTCAATGCGTGAACGTCATCTTCGTCGACGGCAACAGGAACCACAGCTTAACAGACGCCTTCAGGAGACACTGGATCAATCCAGGCATGGTGCGAGCCCAGAACGGGTTGGCCAACGACGACACGTGCCAATCGACGGGAACACAGCACAAACGATCTTTGCGCTTGACTCGCGGCAACAAGTGATTTTTGAACCGGCACCTACCACCCCCTTCCGCAGATGCACATTGCGCAGAGAACTCGAGCACGTGGCACAATGCGGAGCTCCGTAACTGCACATAACCGTCTTCACCATGGCCAGGAAGCACCAGAGGCCCAAGAAGAGCTTGCCCCGGTGCACGTAAGTTACCTTCATTGTCGCCAGCACTACCACTTTTCAAAAAGATATCGATGAGATATAGATTAGATTTATAGGTTGATTTACCCCTTTTTGATGTTCGTTCACGATGGATAGAAAAAGGATTATAGGATTTAAGGCAGATTTGGCAGACGTAATGCATGGTGTGCGCCGTTGTTAATAAGCCATTTTGTTCGATACACACGGTTTGTTGCTATCGATTTATGGATTTTTGCACTCTTTGCCTAGAAATTATCTTTGCTTGAAAACGATAGAAGGAGTTATGGAATAAAGACCAAATTTGCCAGGCATAACGCATGGGTGGGATGTGTTTTAATGAGCCGTTTTGTTCAAATATAATGACCGACCCTTTCAATTTATTGATTTTTTGCAGTTCGCGTAATATCCATTGCTTAGTGTTAATTCGAAATAAACCGACAAAGCCGAAATTGCCCATGGTTGTTCTTTCTGCGACGGTTATAAACGAAGTAGTTCGTGCAAAATGGCAAATTTTCTGCAATTTACTTTCAATAAAGAACAAAAGGAAAGATTTACCGGAAGCGAAGCTGCCGTGTACCAGCCGAACCTGCCGCGTAGCGGCAGAGAGTGGCTGGTTTGATAATATTTGATATCTCATTGCGGCAAATCAGCAGTTACGCGCTGTGCTCGTGGTCGTGCTTAGTATGGGTTGAGACAGACTGCGCAGCGTATGCTCACGTGCATGAAGATATGAAGCGTACACCGCATACATAGCGTATACGTAGCGTACACCGCGCTGTAGTCTCACCCAGCCTGACCCAACCTTATTCAATCGAGGTTGCTACAGCGTTAGGAGGCACTAACAGGTAGCTCGATGCAGCCTATAAGTAACTTACAGTAAGCAACTTTTCCGCTTCTGAAAGATTTCAATCGACATATCTCAAGGTAGAACTTGAATTTAGAGCAAGTTGTCACCGTATCGATTCAATTCACTTTTCAACATAATCGATATCACGCAATGCTGTTACACAATTCAAAAGTTTTGTTTCGACTTTGGTGCAGCCCTTGGGTTATTCAGTGCTTCATATCTGCTGACGCCACCAGCTAAAGCACAATGTGAGTCTAATGTATCTGTGATATTCAAGATGGAATATGCCGGAACTGTTCTAGTCGACACTCAAATCAACTTCTGAGAACTGTTTGTGTTTAGTTTTAGACACAGATCGCTCTACAATTATGTAGCTTTTCTCACTAAAAAAGTTCTGAGGTCCCTTGATAAGTTGAGTTGTATGGATCCTTCCTTCCAGTTTGGTCTTCGTTTATGCTTACCTTTGAAATGCTGTTATTGTCTGCTATCACTACATATTTAATGCGACCGTCACAATCATTATTCTTTGACAAATATATTAGCAAAAGTGGAGGTAGCATGCCTAACAGAAAATTTATTTTGGAACGCTTCTTGCAGAAATAAACCAATCTGTCAGTTTCGTCTCAACAGCTCAGTATCTCGAAACGGATCGGAATATCAACCAAGATCTGGCAGTTGTATTAAGAACCAAAAACCTTCCTTTTCTTTCTTGAACACAAACAGTTCCTATCTATGTACTACATATGAACGAAGCAAAAACTCTTTTTTCATTTAACTAATATGTGCCCTTTTGAGATAATTAATAAACATGTACCTAGCCAGCTTGTTCTTGTATAGAGTACATAATTTTTCCTAGTCCTTCACTCAATGTCTTCGGTGTTTCTTTCAGCCGTCACTTTATATTCAATTAGGTGCTTTAAAAATCTCAAATTGTAATATTTATTATAAATTACCTATAGTCTGCACAATTTCTAGCACAGTTTTGAGAGAACATAGTACATAAATTATAATACAAATGTTTAACAAAATATTAGCACAAATACACTCGAAGTTCTAAGCTTGGAAAAGGTTGGATGGAGTGGAAAGAGAGAAGAGTTTTTTTTTTTGAGAAATGAACAGAACAAGGACACATCCGGTTCAAGAAGAAATTATTCAAAAGTATCGTCCGTTGCAGAAACATGTGTTGTTGGTTATTGCATGTAATGTATGAGAGCTCCAGAAAAGCGGCTGAGGCTTAAATGACTACCTCATTCATAAATAAAGATTTCGTAGAGCAAAAGAGAAGTACTGAGAACCGATCATAGGTTGTTTGAAATTGAAAGCTTGCAGGTGATATTGCCCTACTTCTCATAGTCAATTAGTTCTAAAATTTGCTAGGTTTTACATATCACATACTAAATTGTTTTTTGCGTTTGACGATACCTTCGAATGCGACGTGTTCAATTGATGAACCAGGTATTTCTACAAGCCCGTTCGTCCGTATTCGTATTTCTCCTATCCTTCTCTTACGTACCTGTATATTCTACTCGCATATACAAAAACGCCCCATCCCTCGATGTGTAATAAACATTTACAAGAACTTATGTAGAAGTGCTGAGGAAAGAAGGATCTACGAGAAGAGCGATTACTGTACTTTGAACATGGAGTTTTCCTTATTTAACTTGAAAAGCTCAGGTTCGAGAATTGCCTCTATGTTTGTGGAACTGGCACATTTTAGCTTAAATTGCTAACCACCTCATTCTGTACACTTATGAGTTTGGGCCATGCAGTTAAGCTCTCTGTTCTAGACTTGTTAGAAATTGGTTAGTATTGTGGAAGAGGTAATAGGATTCCATACATTTTGATCTTTCGAGAAAATTGTAAATGCTTGATGCAATGAGCTTTTGTGAAAGTTATGGAATAAAACAGTTTTCGTCTCTGACCAAAATAGAACTTTGTTCGTAAATTCAGAATCCTTCTTTCCTTTGTAATAAATATGAACTTGGTGATGAAAGTAATTTCTGAAACTACATGCATTTGTTGCATTTGTTGCAAACACATTTGTGTTGTGACTGAGGTGCGTGAATGAAGTCCTTGAATAATCTGTTGTTAGCTGCTCGAATGGTGTCCGCGTCGTTTCCCTCTTCTCCATCAATGTTCGATGCTTAAAGTAGTTAAGTGATTTGACGTTCATCTTTTTCTAATAAAATTACCGTCAGACTGTCGTCTTGATTTCTCATTGCTATCTTCGAAGATTATTGGCAACCCCGACGAAGTCTTTGAATTGCGTCGAGATTCTTCTGGCTGTTTTACAGTCATCTCCAGCGCATCGGGTGCTGAGTGTCGCTTATGTTCCTTGTACTCCTCAGACGGACTATCCGGTGGAGATGAAGGATTTCTACGACGACATTCTTCCGCTGACGTCGGTACTGCCGCCGGCGTGGGTGGAGTTACATTGAAAGCAGGCGGAGTTTGCTGACCATTTAGATGAGGAAAGGAGTAGTCACAGCGCTCCAACGATGAGATGCTGAATTTTCATTTTGGTTATGACTCACAGGCAGTGAAGGATCGATGGAAGGTGCAGCCACCCCATTTCTTCCCCATTCCTTCTTCAACATGGTTCCCATAAGTGTCAAATGCAAATTAGATGAGTTATTTTACAACTGCAATCAACTTGTCTTATTTGGATTTAATTTTAGTAATACTAGGTTTACAAATAATCGAATTAGCCTCATAAAAACAAAGGTTTCCGGGCACAGGTGCCGCCTTTTGTGTCCGTTCGTCGATGCACTCAGGGATTTTACAATTCAGTAGGTTTGGAAACAGCGTCACGAATCCATACAGTTCATTCGTGAATACAGATTAATTGGTTTTTCTTGTTTCGGAACCCAGAAGGTATGTTTAACTCACAGGGTTCCGGCCTACTAGGTTGTGATCACCCATCTTATGGATCAAACCTACCTACGGTATTCGAAGTTGGATGCTTCCAAAATATCTGGGAGGCTTTATAAGAATCTCGGAGCTGACTAATATTGGCCTCCCTGACCAAAAAAAATTACTTCGCTCTCGAAAAAAAGTAGGTCTCTGCTTATCGATTCTACAATTGATTTTAAAGGCAGAATTTCCAATGTTGGATACGCCCTCTACTTGTCGGACTACGAGAAAATGGACCAGGAACTTGTCATGTTACTTACCTTGATAACATGTCAGGGCTTTCCATGCATCTTCTCTCATTTGATATTGTCCTTTTTCTTGCCATAGCAAACAGCGACATAGTACCTAAGTTGGAAGGGAACTTAAGCTTTCCATTTCCTTTAGCTTTGAAATGAGGACTTACTCATGCGTCTGCCACTTCGCTTGATTTTATTGATAAAATTACTCATGGAAGACGTAGAAACAGAATGTTTGAGTGGATCAGGTTCAAGTCTGAACGGAATATTCGTTTTATTTCGCCTATGAATATGAAATTCACTTACTTGTCATCTTTCTTCACTTTTACATAATTTGAATCTATTTGTCCGTCCCAGACTGATAGCGTTGATCCAGCCAAAGTAGATCTCCTCGGGCGGACCATGAATGACGAATTTTTGGGGATTTTCCTGGAAGACAATGCGACGATGACGTGTAGACAATGATGCAGAAGTCCTTGACTAACATGTTGACGCAGCTTCCGACTTGTGGATTTATCGGACGCTTTGCGCTTTCGACTGTATATAGTGGTTCGGGATCAGGGGTGTCCCAGAAGACGTCACGTATTATAGGTGGATATTGGTCGTAACATTCCTCCACAGAAATACCGACCTGAAGCATAGCTTTTTGTGTTCAAGAGCCGGCATATGGTAGCCACTTCAAAACACTACCGAACGATCTTGGTTTTGTAACCGCTAAATCTAATGATAGACAAACCTGGAAGTTTCGATCAATGACCCAATTCATCTCGAAATCGTCGTCGTCTTCACCGAGGCCATTGAGCAGCACTTGCGCAACCTTTAATTATTGAGTTACACACTACCAAAACTAAATGAATCAACTCGTACCTTGAGCCATCCCAAAATAAAAATAAACTGTAATATGGACAATATGGGAACATATAAGTCGATCTGCAATTCTTTGTTATGCATGACCTGGACTCAAAAATTTTTGTAAGTCAAAATAATCTTACAGATTTTTTCACTCCTTCTCTTTCTAGGTATTGTCGAGCAAATAAATTGGTGAAGAAAAAGCTGTAGACAGCAAGATGAACAACCTGAAAAAATAGTGAATGAGAAAGTTGCTAGAAGTGCGGTCAATCAGGTAATAAAATTACTGCAATTCTGGTCTTGTAATCTGATTAACTGGGTGCAGTTTACGGTAGCGAGCGCAAATTTTATCCATTGTAGAGGCATAAGCAATCAGTAAGAGGATACTTTGTTGTGTTTTCGCATAACTTCAATGAACTTTCAAGTATGAAAAACAAAAACAGTCCGTTCGTTTGAGCCATATGAGTTCTATCGTTCGGAACCGATCCCAATGTAAAACAGATTGCTACTGCCGTACGAAGGCTCACAAGCAGTAGTTAAGCGGGCGTACCAGCACGCGTATCTTCATCGTGAAAAACCTACGCCTTGCTCTGCGGCTAATAATGCTTCGTTCGCGCCTATAGGTTTCGCACCTTCGTCCAGCGCTCACCTTAAACTCTTTGATTGGTACAAACTTCATCAGTCTTCTGCTTAGATCAAGGTACCATTCAAGCAAGCTTCTTAGTGAAGTATGGAGTGAATCACCCAAAGCCATTCATTAATGTGGAATTACGGCAACAAATTCAAAGAAGCTTTCAAGCTATCAATGGCTACAATTTGCCTAGAATGCATACTCTACAAGCTGAAAACTTTCTCAGGCTATACTGAATGTATTTACTTATTATGAATATGAAACTCGTACTTTACCAGAAAGCTTTTCGTAAGCTATGCCAGTCAAAACGCAACTCTTTTAATGTTTCTAAAAATCTTATTAAACCATTCGAATCGCTTTTAAAAACTTGCGAAATTTGTCTAATGAGCCAGCATGCGTAAAAACACTGCTACACAACCTTCCAGAACTTTGAAACTTTTCAAACGGCCTATCTTGCAGAAAGTACTTGAAACTAAGTAAAAGACTTTGTGGCAAAGAGATGTCAACGATTAGAAAGTGTGTTTATACTTTGAGGCAACCTGTACAACCGCGTTCGCGCCCTGTGTATTGCGATTTCATCCAACAGTAGCCTTTACAATCCAAACCGTCACGCTTCTTTACCGCTGAGTTTATATTCGAGTAACATTTCAAGAAGTTACCATCAACTCACCTGTGTGTATACGAGTGGTATGCAAACCCAGTCGTAGAGTACTAGATTGATGAGCTTTGCACGGTAGATGGCAATCCTCTATAATGAGTACTCTTTTGGAAAATTTTTTCTACAATTAGTGCCAAAAAGCAACGAAATAAAGTTTGTTCTGATTTGTAGTTATGTATTAAGATAGTCTCTAAATTTTTCTAACTTACGTCAATTAACGCCACGTAGATATATTCCCCTTGGATTCGACCTTCATCTTTCGCTAGAGTTATCAACGAATAAAGCCACTGAATTGGAAGCCAGTACTTTGAATGCGGTGATTTTACTGCTTCAAACATCTCCAGTTCGTGCTCAGTCATCAAACCTACAGCACAAGTCAGAATCATACATAAATTTAGGCTATGCTATTTTAATATACCTGATGCCACCAAATGCTGCAATGTAGGAAATCGTTTACGAATCAACGAGGATATATCTCGTAAAACCATAGCTTCCATCAAGATCATGTATCGAATGACGTTACGTCGCAAAATTTTAGAGCGTTCATCTCTGCCTCGTATGGATTGTGTAATTTGCAGGGAAGGTCTGAACGAAAGCGTTACATGATTTCATTGAAAAAACAACAAATATTATGGTAAATGACGTCATTTTCAAAATGACACATAACTACTTACTGATCAATCCAGCCCATATTGTCGAAGACCTGCCACCAACGGCCGTAAACCACCGAAACGTAAAATCCAAGCATGAATGTGACAGGGATGAAAGTAGAATGTTTGTCGAAGAAAATGCAAAGATCTTCGAAAGTCCTGTATTTCAAAGCTTATTACTAAGGCAAAATCGGCACTTGCTGAACAAACTCTCTATGCTCCTTGATTAAGAAACATCTGTAGGTTATGCTCAAAATAGCGTATAGGATACACCATATAAGTAATTCTTGCCATACGGCTTTCCAGACCGAGCCCTGTAAAATAGATTCCACGATTAAGAGCGAGACTGTGTTTTTCATAAATTTTATCTGTTGTAATGTGCTTAGGGAATGAATGTTCAATCATTTTCTGAATTTTGACCAATTTCAGGCGAAACACCGCGCCAAAGACGAAAGTGACCGCGAAATTATTTTTTACACTGACAAGAGAAGGATACCAACATTAGTCGGCAATTAAAGATGAGATGTATATCATCAGATGCGCCTTTGAACACTGATTCCAGATCTGCTTTTCTTTTTTGTGGAATAAGTTTTCGAAAGAAGTTATGAGCATTTAAACGTCCAGATTTGCCAGGCATTGAGTGGCTTAAAATCAGCGAAAAGCGCTAAAACAAAACCTATGCGATTTCCACCGACTTTGTTCATTTCTTGCAAACAATATACTCGATACGAAAATGATTTTCTACCTTCCGGCGTTTTTGTACACGTTTTCGCCAATTTTAGGGCACCTAAACCTTGATCAATTTGAACTTTTGTACGCCCACAACTTCTTTCGGAAACTCATTTCGCAAAAAGGAAAGCAGATTTGGAATCGGCGTTCAAAGGCGCGTCTACTGGTATACATCTCATCTTCAATCGCCGACTAATGTTGGTATCCTTCCCTTGTGAGTTTGAAAAACGAATGCTGTATGCCCAGAGTTAGTTTACTTTTTTTGAATTTGCTCATTTCTACTCGGTTGCTCAAAAAAGGTTGCTCTTTCTAAAATTATAAAAGAGGCTTCAGCTTACCTTCCATCGAAACAATAATTTATGAAAACTGCCAATGTAGCCTGATGTTGCCGAAGCAAAGCTGTAGCCGACTGTCATGATAAGTGACGGCTACCTAAAATGGATGCTGATAACCTGAGATTATCTAAATATTACATATTTATGCACATAACGTGATTACTAGGAACCAAGAAAACAGAAAGTAATGGGTTAATTGAATATACGCATAACAAGAACAGTAGCGTCAAGTAGAGGAACACGGAATGAAGGCATCTGAGAGATTATTGATCAGCGAAATTGGTTTCGAAAAAGTCAGGAGTGTTTTCCATGATCATCATGCGACATACGACACCTACACGCAGTACCACTCAATATGCATAGCCGATTATACGGTACAAAATGATTTACAATTACATAACCCGACATATGTCACGGTCGAGAAGACCGAGCTGGTTCGCGAACGAACTAAATGCATTGGATTTGGAGAATCTTATAAAGATGTTTGAAGAACAATGTAGCAACAGTGCTCGTGACCTCAGTACTTCCTTGTTCTGGTTGCCCAATTCTAGTTGTAAACTAGCCTTATTTCAAAGTTTAGCCATACGGCCAGTTTAGTAGTTTTATATGTGATGGGCTTATGATTATGAAATCATGTTGAAATAGCAGATTATGACGTAAAGACAAGTTTGGGACGTTGCTTTCATAACTCTCATAGTGTCTGTCTATATCACTTTAGCAGTAAACACTAATGATAAGTTCCTAATGTGTGTCGGTTCCATAGTATCCCCAGCATCTTTTATAGTAGATACGTTACACATGTATTCTGCAGGAATATTATTCAACTGCTTTCAAATTTGAAATTACACTAGTATAAAGTGGGATACGGCGAAGGCATGGAAAGAGGTCACTAACTTCAATTTAAAATGTGTGAAAGACTATTCGTTATGTTGTTTTTGGAAAACGGCTAGCTTGATTTAAAACATGACATGCTTTATCAAATAGAGCAGCCATTTTCTTTCAAATAAAATGATGACTAGAATGAACCACTCATGGATCGAAGACTTTGCTTCTCTTCTCACTGTGCGCAGCATCGTATCGAGAAAGTCATTATTCACCTTGAATTTTTTCAGTATTTTTGTAGAGGATAGCGTTCTATGGAGATTTCTTTCTTTTTTTACGATCGATCTTTCAAAAACTATATTTGAAGCCTACGTAGTACGTCTCTTTGATAGACTCCATCTAAATCATACCTCAAAATTCTTTGGTCCACTCACAATCCATACAAAGGACATGTTTTTGTGATATCATGTCTGGGTGATTTGCATTTGCCTCTTGCACTTTTCAGCATTTTCATCTCGCTCGGTATTCCCGTAAAGAAAGTTTGCCTATGGTCGCAACATTGATCGGTTCGTTCTTATACGTCTTCTGAGAGAAATTTGAGATTTGCCAGCAAGCGAAAAGACAGTCGCTAATAAATTGGTTGCAGTCGGCATGATTTCGGAACTATTTTGGTGAAGTGAGTTTTTACTCAATAGAATAACTTGTCCGGTCTTCGGATTATTTCTGTACCATACAGGTTTGACGACCGGTCTTTATTCTTCCAATAGCTGCCCAACGTTTCGACAACTTCTTCTCGCTCAGAGGCCCAGCAACGGTCTAAGCCATAGCTGCGATATGGGAAGCAGGGTCTCCTCCAGGCAAAGGAGGGTTTGGCTTTTTCTGACCTAGAAAAGTGAAGGGGTAACTGGGCCTGAGATGAATGCTGAGCTTAGATGTCTAACGGGAGCGGGAGCGAAAAGAAGGAAAATAAGTGGTACAGAGGTGTGATATAAAAACTTCCTCAATGCTCAGGCTTCGGAAAGTCATCCAACAAAGACTTTTTGATTCAGAAAAGCTTTATGTTTCATCAGTCTACATGTTATTTCAAAACTTGAAGCATACAGAATCGACGTAGACGTCTCTTCTTTTGCAGCTCTCTTGTAAATTCAGATATAAAAAAAACACTAACTCCAGCATCAGCTGATTTATGAAAGAAAGAGGAAAGCTAGAAAAAAAGGACGGTCAACATTTACTGGCAAGTCTTGCTCTGTAAGGGTTAGACAACTGGGCATTTTTAACCACTCTTTGCATAAAAATTTCTTCACAAAAACATATGTTTTTAGCTCAAATACCATGTATATCTGAGTAGAGGGAGCTAGAGAAAAAGTGACGGTTTACTCTACGTCGAATTTCTGTTTTGTGAGCTGTCTAAAGATATATAGATTGTTGAGTAGGCTCGTAATTTTTTAAAAATGAGGTGGAGGTAGGTCTTTAGTATCAACTTGCTCCACCTCGCTCTTGCTTTCTATGGGTCGCCGAAGCAAGACTTTGTTAGACTAAGAAAGCCTGGTGCACCAATACTTTTGACCATTCGATAGCTAAGAACAACACGAGGAATCAACGTAGACCGTCTCTTTTTTCCTAGCTTTTCTGTGAAGCGAGATACGATTTATCTACCTACAATGTCAGCCAATTCTGTGTAATTAGCCTTTCAAAACAAGGTCTTTTTCAAACTTTCATATACGATTCGAAAGCTTGAGAAACGAGCAATCTATCTGCTCTTTCAATTGTTGTTTTTCTCTCTAGTAAAGGGAGATATGGTACGATTCCAGTAAACATGCATCCTTCGCTAGCCAGTCCAGGTTTTCTACTCTTGCTCAACTCTTTCTTGCGACAGTGTATATTCATTGATACAATGTTAATTATCTCAAGTAATCAGACATCCTTTTGATTTTTGATCATTTTTCGTTATCAACGCCACTTTGAGTGCGCAGAAGGTCTTAAGCATGCGTTTCTTCAGCAACACTGTTGGTTCGATACTCTCTTGCAGTCTTGATGTCTGAGGAGAAGAGCAGCTGGCGTTTCCTTTCCAAACAAAAAGTGTCGTTGTAACAGCTGTTTGATCCTGCCGTTATGCCTTGATTCTAGTCTTAAAGGCACCGTCCACCCTAAGTTGAGGGGGCCGAGCTTTTGGCAGCATATAACAGTAGGGCCTCTTATCAAGCCAATGCCGAAGTTGCTGCGCAAAATGCCGCTTCGGAAGCGAGAAAATCGCTTCGGAATAGCGAAGATGCGCGAGGACCCCAATCCATGCCCGCCCCTGCCCATCCATACCCGCCCATTTGTGCGCGCTCATCCAATCACCGTTCTGGAAAGCCGGCTTGTGGGCTCTCCGGAATGGGAATTTTCGAGATTTTCGAAGATTTTCGACTTCATATTTGGAATCGGGGACATGAGAAGGCCCTGAAACGACAAAAACCTGGAAGTCGAGAATCTGGGTGGACGGTGCCTTTAACCTCAGGTGAAAGAGGTCAGCCAGATGCCGGCCCTAAAGTGAAAGAAGTCAGAGAAATTTCTCCACTTATCGCATCTATGGTCTAAGTGTCACCTCCTGCACGCCATCAAACATCGCCTTCATACAAGCCAATTTCAGGCTTTCCATCAGTTTCGCTTGCTAGGGAATCTCTAGAGCAAGAATGTTGCAACGGCAAAGAACACAGATATAAGAGAACTAGAACTGGAAGTCGTGGTCGCTGCGGACGAATAATCTATGAGTGGATGCGTTGGATGTGACTTGTAGTTGGCATAATTATATAAAGCAAGAAAATCAGCATTACTAACAGACTTTTAGTTGATCGTTTCTAGATTTCTTGCAGATGTCTAGGCCCCTTATATTGCTTTCCTAGCCAAGGTCCCTCTTTCGTAGGACGGAATCTTACATTTGATGTCAAAGTCCTTTATGCGGCTCTTTTTGGGCGAGAGCATTTTTATTCGCTATTCCACCCTTCTTCGCCTGGAAGGCGTTAAAGGTCAGTTCCGCTGCTAGAAAGGCAGAAGCGAATCGTATTGAGGGACGACTTTGACATCAAATATAAGATTTTATTCTACGAAAGGGAAGAATCGGTTTGGAAAGCAATGAAAGCATTCTGAAAATTCGCAAGGATTCCGAAGTGGCAGTCAAACAATGCTAACTTCCTTCCCTTCGTATGGTTATGCCATTATCTCATTCTTCCCTCGCGACCATTCATTTCCGATGCCCTTCTCGTATAATGACAGTCTAGTACGTTGTTCTTGCTACAACAATTTCTATGCTAAGGAAATGAGAATCAAAAACTGGATCTTTTGGAGGCGATGTTTAGTGACAGTCACAGGTGACGCTTTGAATTATTTTTGTGCTTCCCAGAAACGAAAACGTAAAAACGCTGCACCATTATTAGAAGTTCAAGACCACTTACTAAACTTGTATGGTTCGGAGTAAATCGAATACAAATTTGTCAATTTCGCTTTTTTTGACTTTTTTGTTGGAAGGAAGAAGAACTTTTGTAAATTCTGCTACCGCTTATCCATCCATCAAAATATATGATGTCCACAACCGTATTAGAAAGATTGAAAAATGTCATTTTTCACTTTGCGGCGAAGAACGTGAATGTATCAATCAATACTAAGAAATTTTTGAACATTACCCTGATGGATCTGAGCGCGTCCGGACCAATTCCAGCAATGAAATTGCTATTGCATGAAGTCATACAAAAAAGTCGTACATGAAGGAGTAATGGATATACTTTCTCTGGGTTGACACTTCTTTTTGCATATCAAAACTCTTTTTCGACTTGCTTTGGAGGATTAGTTGACAAAAGTGCACACACATTTTGTAACTCAATTTTGTCAGAATTTACAAAAAATGAGCAACTTATGAATGTTATTGCACAGATATGATTTCATTTAAGTTGCGTATCAATGTCGAAATCATACCTTTTCCACATATCAAGCGGCTACGTAATTTCACTCTGACTTCATTGCGTGTCCTTTTTTGTGGTATCCTTGCTTGTCCCTCGTAAAATGTCCCAAACCACTCCTTCAGCGATATTTTGTTGTATGCGCAGAAACAAAAACCTATTCATGGGAGGTGGTTATGCTCCCATCACCTTGGCTTCAACTTATTGACACTTCTGAAAGCTGTTTTTGTGACGTTTATCACGCGAAAAAATTCCTTTTGGCAAGAAGTTTACATACTTAGGAAAGCTGAGCGGCTTGAATTCAAAAGGGTTACTTTTTGGAGCTGTGACAGCTAGATTTGTTCTGGCAATACGGTGTGTCATATCGAACGTGATTCGCATGATACGTCGCTGATTTCCTTTACTTAATAAAAGAAAACCACTGGTTGTAGCAGAGATTTTGTGTATCATGTCTGACATAGGTGAGAAAGTTCAGTCATTAGGAATTATCTCTCATTTTTATCTTTCAACAAAACAGCACCGCACCTTATCGAAGTTACAAAATCTGAAAATTTTGACTTGGAACTTTGAGTGTGGAATCTGACATGCTGATTACATTTATGGCTCAATCACGAATTAAGTTTTCTTCGCTGCCTGAGAAAGGATACACATTTTTTTCGCTGCGAGCGAATTCGCAGCCCAGTTGTCACGTCTGGAACAAAAATTATCCAAGAACGTTGTAATGTCTGACGTGCGGTATTTTTTTTTTAAATCAATTCGTCGACAAGCTATAAGCTTTTGGTAAAAATGTTGTAGAGAAACCGTTGCAGGAATGCAAAGAATTTATATTGAAATCGAACTCAAACAGAGACACTCCATCTTTATATTTATAGTGTAGTGATGTAATGACGATAACTAGAAAACTATAAAACATAGAGGAAATTACTATGTGTCCAGAACTGCTTTACGTTGTAGAGATCCGAACTTTTTAAACACTGGTAGGAGCCACTGTCTAGTTTTCTTTGTGGTTTTGCTTTTGTGGTTATTGTTCCTTAAGAGGCTCTTCTCGGGGCTGGGATTCTTAATCAAAGAGAGGCCTTTCTTGGTACTGGACTTGTTGTCTGAGGAGCCCTTCTTCGAATTTGGATTCTTGCCCAACAAGGGACTCTTCTTGGTATTGGAATTATTATTCACTGGAAGACTCTTTTTGGAAATGGGCTTGTTGTTCACTGACGGAACCGCCTTCGAAGCCGGACTCTTGTTCATCGAAGGGCTCTTTTTGGTACTGGCATTATTATTTACTACAGTGTTTTTCTTGGAACTGGGCTTGCTTCCCACTGGGGGACCTTTCTTCGTATTCCGATTCTTGTTGATCGAGGGGCTCTTTTTGGAAGTGGGATCATTTTTTACTGGGAAAAGATTCTTGAATTTGTTTTGTTTGCCCTTTGGCGGTGGCTTCAACTTCCGGTGATGAGATACGCACAGATAACCAAGAATTCTGTCGCTTTCCTGGAATAGGGCAAGTGAAAGACATTGTGACTGGAATACAAAATACCTTTCTGAATTCTCCTTTGCAATCTGTTGCTGCCAACTTGTTGGTATCAAACGCTGAAAGCACCGTGCAAAGACCCTTTTTGCTGAAAAAAAAAATCATTGTCTTTTTGAGTTTGACGCGAAGAGAATTTTCCGCTTGAACCACTTTGAATATTTACTACAACGTATTCTGCTTTTTATTTCGTTTCCGTTGTTTTTAGAAGTAGCTGCTCAGACAGTCGAAAGGATACCTCCGGCGGGCAAATGGCGCGAGTCCGCCACTTCGCGCTCTGGAGCGCTCCGGAGCCCTGCCATTTCACCCATTTTGGCGCTCCGGGGCTCTTCCAAATCTGGCGCACCTGCGGAGCAGAGATTTGCATGTTCCGGAGAGGGATCCCATTCCCCTGCTTGTAACGTCACCGTCACGTCACGTGCAGGGCTCCGTAGCGCTCCAGAGCGCGAAGTGGCAGACTCGCGCCATTTGCCCGTCGGAAGTATCCCTTCGACTGTCTGAGTGTGAGTACAAAATTACGAATAATGCAACGGATACTGCGGAGAGGGGCATTGAAGCCAAAGATGTAAGGTATCATAGAGTTTGTATAAACGTACATATCTTCCTTGCGTCTTGCCACCCAATACAATCCCTTTGGGTCTAAGCTATCTGAAAACCAGCAAAAATAAAAATAACTTAGTTTGTCAATTCCTAGGAACATAGCCAGGAAAGAGTCTTGCACAAGTACATGTGTTGCCGATAAAATGGAAATATCTTATGTAGACATTGTGGGTCACCAAAAAACCACGTCTCAAGCAAGATTTTAGTTTTTTCCCGCTTTGTACATTACTAATTATACGACAGGGTGTCCCAAAAAATGTGCCTATTGTTTGATTGTTAATGTCTTTCTTATAAGGAAGTCTTTGAGAAGTCTTAGGTACCTTTTTGTAGAGCTGGCTCCAGCTCTTAGATTTACGGTATAAAGTGGATTACCAGGTTCTTTCCGTTAATGTAGAATTACGGTAGGAACTTTGAAGAGGATTTTGAGCTATGCAAGGTCATAGTTTGCCTTAGAAAGGCACAAAACAACCTGGAAACTTTCACATTAGGCTAATTAGAGTTGTTGATTCTGAATGTAGGATTCGCAACTAATCACAATGCTCCGTTATAAAGTTATGAGAGGCAAGCAGTAACGGGTTTTTTCAATGTTCCTAAAAGTGAGATTGCACCGTTAAAAAGCTTCGCAATCTTGTACATATTGAGTATTTCAGCGTCCATGATAACCCTATTACACAAGTTTTCTCACTTTTTGGGAAATTTTTGGAACGATAGTTTTTTTTCACAGTGAAAGCATATGCTTGAAGTTTCTACCGTAATCCCACAGTAATGTAGGGCGATCGGTGATTCGTTCTATACTGTAAATTTGAGTTGAAGCCAGCTCTATATAACGATATGCAAAGCTTCTCGAAAGACTTCATTATAAGAGAGTTTCTAACAATTGAACAGTAGGCACATTTTCTTAGGACATCCTATAGTTCTGAGAAAGAGAAGCGACTGCACCATATTTTGGTTGGGAAAAAACGACTTTGAATCAAAAGACACCATTGCCAGCTTAGCTCTCCACGCATCTTATGTGTAAACCTGATTATCTGAATTCTACTGGTATATAGTAAGTAGATTTAGCAGCAACTAATGTATGACATGTCACTCAGCTGGCGAGAAAGAGCCAAACAAGCATCTGAAACCTTTGCGAAATACTACTGCAAACTATGAACTACTTATATAAATAGGCAGTCCAATCAAGTTGTGCCGTGTTGAGCTTAATTGTATGGTGTTTCTTCGATTCAAAACCCTTGCACGCCGAACCGAAATATGGCGATGGAGTGTGAATTCCGCGAACTCCGCCAAAAAGCGCATCTTTATAGACGGGTCGAGCAGTATTGCGCATCTTTGGGACCGAAATGAGCTCGCTTTCTCCAAAAGTTATAACTTTACAAATAGAAATTTCTTTTCGCTGTAGATTCTCCATGGATCACATACTGCCAATTTTGTCCACGTCGTCTTTCGATGGAGATGAGAGTTCGTAACCAAACTTTGCACATTCTTGTTTAGCTCCTGCCCAGCTCAAAATCCTTCCCTGTCCACTTTCATCTGCTGGATGCTGTAATGCTGGCTTTATCAATGAAGCATCAATTTTTGTCTGTCAACTAGCTAAAAACCTTTTTCACGAGAGTGAAAGTTTAAATAGCAGCAGGCAAAACTCGTTTCAACGTAAGGTTCAGCAAAAAAAAAATTCAGAATATTTTCGGTTGAATTAAGCACTTACTAGGATGTGTATACGCGTAATCATCCGTTTAGCATCATACCGGCTATTAGTGTCATACATGGCTGTAGCGTTCTGCCTTTTACTTTCGAAGGGATCCGCTTCTCGAAGTACATGTTCGCAAATATATGGCATTGTGACATTTTTCTGAATCAAATAAAAATGGCGAACGTTTAGATTTTTAGCTATAAAAAGTTACTCATCCTCAGTTCCAAGATTTCATCAATATTGAATTTTTACCTTCTCTCTACGTTTACGATCGCAATAGTTTCCGTCTCCCAATGTACCATTATTGAGAGATATAAAAGTGCATTTATCTTTCCTGTAATACTACTACTTTTTGATGTTTCTGATAATATTTGGCTTGCGGATAAATTCTGCTAATCTTGTTGATTCTGGAAAAAATGCAGAAGCTTTCTGATCTTTGTCTCATTTACAGTGACATGCGGGAGTCAGCCAGTAACAGAATCACTGCCTGATCCTGGTGACCTAGTACCAACTTTATTTTCCTTTAGACGGCCTTTTGGCCAGGACGGAGAATAGAACCTCGATCACACCGATCGTAGCTTCGGTTCATACCACTATACCACTCGCCTCCGAAGTCAATAGTCAAGTTAGGAAGAATTATATTGGCTCTGTTACAAAATCATGAAATCACGCAGTCAATTTCTGCACGTTGTTAAATACGAGTGAATTCGAGATAAAAGTTGAACTGTAAGTCAATTTGGATTTTCAGTTCAAGAACTGCTACGTCAAAATAAGTTACAAAGTTCAGAAAATGTAGCTTTTTCTTTTGAGCTTTTAACTGCTAATTTTGCAGAGATGCATATATCACTGCTATAGAAGTCGAAATCATCGATATTTTTGATGGAATTTTTCCTACATAGATATCAGGAGAGCTTTGGAAATTTATCAAATACAGAAATTCTAATTAATGGTTGGGTTAACCTATAGCAGTACACTGTTAATAACTTACTTCACAATCTCCGCTCCTCAGCGGTCTGTCACTGTCTATCATATGCCAGTTCTCTGTCCCCATTGTATTCCGTACGATACTTACTTAGATACTTAGATGGCCCGGCTTCACGTGACGTGCGGGTCCCAGCTCAGAAGTTTCCATTTCTCCCTCTCTCTCGCTTCAGACATCCACAATTTTCTTGGCTGACGTCGGTGGCTGCGTCCACGATTAGGTGCAAAAATCGTATCCAGCTGGTCCATCCGCTCCATGAACACGTCTGCTCATCTCGTCGGTGGTCTTCCTCGAAGACGTTTGGCTTCGCGAGGAATCCACTCAGATGTTCTTAGTGTCCATCTGTCGTCTGTTCTTCTCATTATGTGACCGGCCCATCGGTGTTTGACTTTCGCAACGTAATCCGCTGGGTCACGAAGACGGGACATTCTCCTCATATCCGTACTGCGAAGTCCGACGAGATGTTGTTTGTGTCGTCAGAAGACTACGCTCTAGCGCTCTGTGGGTGGTCCTTAAAGCTTTCGAAGTGGCTACGGTGTCAGCACAAGTCTCAGCTGCGTAACAGAGCGCCGGGAGAACGGTTGAGTCGAACAGGTGGGCACGAAGCTCCGGGTCCGTCAGTTGGTCGGTGGCTTCCTTCAAAGGCCCGAAGGCGGCCCAGGCTGCTCTTCTTCTCCTGTTAAGTTCTTCCCTCAAGTCGTTCCATGTTCATCGAACGTCCGAGATACACTTAGGAAGACGTCTCCATAATCGGGGTGCCTTCCAATTCCATTTCTGCATCTTCGCAAAGGGCGTTCTTTATGAACTGAGTCTTCTTCCGATTTATTCGCAGTCCGATCTTCTTCCCTACTTCGTTTAGTTCCTTCAGCATCGTCTCTGCTTCGGTGATACTGCTCGAGAAGGGAACAATGTCGTCCGCAAAACGAAGGTTCGACAGGGATTTCCCATCAACTCGTATGCCTCTCTCGTCCCAGTCCAGTGACTTCATCAGCCACTGCAAGGCCGCGGTGAACAGCTTCGGCGAAATTATGTCGCCTTGTCGGACCCCCTTCCCAATTGGAATAGTCAGGGGGCCATAGAACAGCTGCATCGTCGTTGTACAGTTCTTGTAACAGTCGGCTAACGTCCTCACGTAAGCTGGGTCCACTCCCTGATCGACTAGCGCAGACAGGATGGCGTTGGTTTCGACGCTGTCAAAGGCTTTCTCGTAGTTGACAAAGGTTAGGACGAGAGGCAGTCGGTATTCCCGGCAGACTTCTATAACCCTCGAAACCGTCCGGATGTGGTCCATGCAGCTGAATCCTTTGCGAAATCCAGCTTGTTCTTGGGGTTGGGCTTCATCCAGTGTCCTAGATTTGAGAGCGAGGATAATCTTCGTGAAATTGTACAGCACACTCAGCAGGCATATTGGACGGTAATTCCGAAGGTCTTCCCGTTCACCCTTCTTGAAAAGAAGGACGGTTCTTGACGTTCTCCACTGGTCGGGAATTCTTTCCTTCTGAAGGTAAGATGTTAGGTGCGACGCGAGAATCTCGTGTAGACGTTGTCCTTCAATTCGCAGAAACTCGACGGAAAGATGGTCTGGTCCTAGAGCCGTGGACGTCTTCATGGTCTGAATCACTGTGCGCACTTCAGCAGGTAATTCGGGTGGCACTTCTTCAGTGGGAACAACGGGCATCGGCACGGTAGTTGATGGGCGGAAGAGGTTGGTATAGAAGTTCTTCGCAATAGATTCCATCTTGTATCGGGAAGAAGTCGGAGTCCCGTCTTCGTTTGATAGTGCAACCAGCGGTACGTGATATTCACAGAGGTCCCTTCGGCACTTCTTGAGACTTCGTCTTCTTTCGGCTGCTTCCAGTATCTTGACTTGCCTGTACTTAGTGAGATTCTCCTGCAAAGCTGTTCTGCAACTGACGTTGGCTATCAGTTGTTCGAGATGGGTTGCATTCGGATCCTGCCTCAGAAATCTTCTTCTTTCGAGCATTTCCTTGGTGGTCTTCGAAATGCGTTCCAAGTTCTTCTCGGAGGTCACTGAGGCGCACTCTCCGCAAGCTCCCAATCCTTTCAGAAGCAGGTCGTAGTCGTACGTTGGGTCCTCCTCGATGGGCCAGTCACAACTTGATATGAGCTCCTCCAGCCTGTTACCGTCATAAACGACATTCTTCCTTCTTGCGGCACTGTGGGACCTTCTTTTCCAGCCTTCGACTGTATCGTACCTTCGCTCGAAGGAGGCGGTGATCGGAGCCACTGCAGAAGGATGGAACTACTGAGACATCGAGCAAGCTCCACCTTCGATTGGTGAGAATGTGGTCGATCTCCGCATGAGTCGTTCCGTTGGGCGATTCCCATGTCCACCGGCGATGTTCTTTCTTATTCAGTACGATAATGATTGGTAATCATGGTGCTCACTTATTTCCAATTACCAATACTCAGTTCTTACTTCGATTGCGAAACTCAGAGTAAAGAAGGAAAAATTCCAAATGATGCTTTTTTGACACCAGCTTGGAAACTTTCTTGCCTTTCCCCCCCCACCCCCCCTCAACATATCAACACCCAGCTGTCCAGTTTAAATTGCGGAAAAATACCGAAAAAGCTATAGCCGCAACTACTGATTTAACAAATGGTTGTAACTTTCGTATTCGTGCTCGTTTATCGTATACATCATGAGATAAAAAGTAAAGAAAATACAGTTGATTGCACGGAATCGCCCGAGCTGAACACACGCAGCGTATCTCTTGCGGGCTAACATTGGCGTTCGCGCGCATGAGTCATTATAGCGCCCGTACGCTGCAGCCGCGTTGCAGGCACGCTTGCGTGCGTTCAGCCTACAGCGACCTGAGCGATTTTATGTAGTCGACTTTATGTTCATTGAAGGACAAGTAACAGTTCGATGTTCTTGCGAGTGATTGATCATGAAACGTCATGTTTTCCAGCTGGAATAAGGAATAATGAGCGTGTTGGTTTTTTAGGACGATGTCGGGATGGTCACTACCAGAGGAAAAATGTGTGAAGCAAAATGCTGATGAAGAGAGACTTAAAAGTGTTTATCTGTACGCTTGCATAGATCCTAAAAACTGCAAAAAAATTTAATTTATTTCCTTTTCCCGAGCTAACGTGCATCCAAACTCCGGTGTTTCACTAGTATACGAGTTTTGGCTCACCTCGTACACCGGCCCCTCATTTTTCGTATCCAAGCCGTGAACCTCCCGCAATCTGGACAGTGGTGTTCTCGAAAGCGTGCTGCAAATAATTGTAACTAAGACTTTCCAAGTGACGTTTCGTATCTGCTCGTCTGCCATAGAGTAGATTGAGCATTGACACTCAATAACTCGTGACAGTCTCTGATAGTGGTAGGGTACAAAAAGCAATGCTTCAGTAGGAATTCAACAATTTAAGTGAGTACCAAATTTTCGCGCCACCTACTCTATCGTCAACGAGCAGGCGATAGCTGATTTGCGTCATCTTCTGAGTGATATATGCTTTTTGTAAATCCTATAAAGCTACTAACTAATAATGCAACTGAACTGTTTATTTACTGAAAAATGATGTGCAAACAGGTGGTGGGTAAGAAGTACAGCGACAGCTACCAACGACAGCTACAAATTAATATTAATTACTCGCTTCTGTGCCCTATCACGATGACAATAAAATAATACGACCATGCTCGCAAGAATATTGGAATTCGCGTAATCGCTGAAGCTCGTGATATTTCGGATTTGCGCGATTTCTCCACAAATTCCAGTGAAGCAGATCTTTAAGATACGCGAGCGGAGAATCAGTTTTAAGAATTCTTTCATATAAAATGTCTCTATAATAATGCATACGCTAAGATACGCTAGAAATCTAGGCCCGTAGTAAAGCCTCGTTCGACCTCAACTGAGGAAAGCTTCAGTTGAAGCTTCGACAGCTCTGCCTCAGTCGAGCCATTGACTGATAATTGCAACCATCCACATTGATATGATTGAGTACGCTACGTTCATGCAAGTGTGCAAGTCAGAATCAGAACCTGTTCGCCAAACATTCTCTTTGTGATTAGTACTAGCGGCGGAGATGTGGCCGCATTTGTTAGATCTTGTCGAAGATTGTCAGCCTGCACTGTGGTTTCTTAATCAGTATGTTTGACATGTTAAAATGACGTGTATCGTAAGTTACTCACGAGCAATTTACGGAAATTTTTTCTAAATCTCCTCATTAGCACACTATTTCGGGAGATCATCGCAAGGATCATCTCCGATCATAGGTGCGATAGGGGAAGCCGGGCCCTCTCCAGGTGAAGGAGGTCTCTGCTACTCTAATCCTTGTAAGGTGAAGGGGGTAAGTGAGCCCTGAGAGCAAAATGCCCCAACAAGTTACATACCATTCGAAAACTGAGGTCATATAGAATCGACATAGACCGTCGGCTTTTTCCTAGGTCTTTTGTTCCGCGAGATACGAGGGATTTTATATACTTCATGTGTCAACTAATTTTGTGTCCTCACTTTCTGCTCTCCAAAAGAATGCTACGAGAAAGTCGACGGTCTACATCTGCTAATGAAGACTTGCTCTGTAACGCAGCTAGATAACCAGCAGATTAGGTCTTCGTTTGGCACAATTTGCTGTAGAAAATGAACATGATTTCAGGTAAAATGCAGTGTATCTCTCGATAAAGGACGGCTAGAAAGAATTCGACGGTCTACGTCGAGTTTCCTTTTCCTGAGCTTTCGATGGTATATAGACTGTTGAGCGAAAAAACTTGCTAGTTTTTAAAAATGGTGTGGAGGTATTTACTACTAGCTTGCTCCACCCAGCTCCCCAATGTATTGGCTTTTATCGGTCACCAGAGCAAGTGCTTCTTAGAGCCGGGAAGCAGAAAAGACCTAACATGCTTCACGCCGTTCGAAAGCTGAGATTATGGAGAATCGACGTAGACCGTCTCTTTTTTCGTAGCTTCTCTGTGAAGCGAGATACGAGCAGTTTTATCTAGCTACAATATCAGCCAATTTTGGACAATTATATTTTCCAACCAAGAAGGTCTTTTTCGAACTTTTATATATGAATCGAAAGCAGAAAAAACGAGTAATCTGACTGTTGTTTTGTTTGTTATTATCCTCTCTAGTGAAAAGAGATATGGTATGATTTTTTGTCAGTAAACATGCATCCGTCGCTAGTCGGTTCAGATTTTTTTACTCTTGCTCAACTCTTTTTTGCAAAGTATGTATTCATTGATACAATGTTAATTATTCAAAAAATCACCTTTTACTTTTGATTTCGTTATCAACGCCCTTTGAGCGCGCAGAAGGTCTCAAGCATGCGTTTTTTTACGAAACGTAGTTGATTCGATACTCTCTTGCAGTCTTGATGTCTGAGGAGAAGAGCAGCTGGCGTTTCCTTTCCAAACAAAAGTTCCGTTGTAATAGCTGTTTGCCTTGATTAGTCTCAACCTCAGGTGAAAGGGGTCAGCCGGCCCTAAAGTGAAGGGGGTCAGAGAAATTTCTCCACCTATCGCATCTATGTCTCCGATGACTCGGCAGGGAGATGATTTCCCTGCCGAACCTGACCGAGGCTCACATGTCAAATAGCATTGCATTCTTATAGCATGTGGAGATGGGCGGTCGTCATTTCAGCTGACGGAACCTCACATAAGGGCCTCAAAAGAGATCATCTCTCCTAACCCAGCTTTACTACGGGTCATAATCTCAGACAATCGCCGGGGGCAGGCGGGCACCGGAAAAATAGATTGCTGATCTCTCGCACCCCGCTCGCGGATTTTTTGGAAAGCAATCAGGACTTTTCGGAAGGCCGCTTGCTGAGTTCTCGATTCCTCAGAGATTCAGCAATATATCTGCAAAAGATAAGAGCGAAGAAAAATTCAACAGGTGGTCTCTCAAAAATCCGCTGACTCAGCAAGCGGCCTTCCGAAAAGTCCTGATTGCTTTCCAAAAAATCCGCGAGCGGGGTGCGAGAGATCAGCAATCTATTTTTCCGGTGCCCGCCTGCCCCCGGCGATTGTCTGAGATGTTAACTCGCAGTTTTATCTGATGGCGTTCTCGTAAGGGTGGAGTTCATATATTGCAAATAATCCGCCCCAATGAAAATCTTTGGATAGAACGGTTCAAATTAAGAAATACTTTGTAGAATATCTCACAAATGTTTCAAGAAACTGTCTAAGGCGAAAGACGTTTGTATACTTGGAAAACAAGAGCGTGTCCTGTTGCCCCTCATCGCGATCCAACATTGAGAATTAAATCTGTCAAGCAAATGCAATTTTTTCAATTTTCATTTACTGTAAATTCGCTCGAGGCGTTCCATACAGAAAATGTTAATCTACTTGAACACGAACATTAACGAAAATTATATGCTTCAAGCATTGACTCACAACTAGACAGTAGAATGTAGCGATTTAGCTTGCATGATAACCGCTACATTACTGCAGATGTCGAAATTGAGTTATGTTCTCGGAGATGGTATACATGTGCCCGCTTTGGCCAATAAGACTTTCTTTTAGTAGTTAAACAAGTGAAAAGGTTGGACGAAGGGATACTAGACAAAGGTCTGACGGGGAGAACCCAAAAGTCATAAGCAGTTTTTTTTTCAATTTTTCAGGCATTACTTCTGATTTTGGCTTTCAAGTGCTTTTTTGAACGGTTTCCCGGAACATATCGAAGATGTAAGAGAGAAATATCACTCATTGGTGACTGAATTTTATAGCGCAAGACTTATGCACCAAAGGACAAAGATGTTTCGAGGAAGGAGAGGCACGATAAACAATTTTTTATCGGAATAGGCAGCGCTCTGAGAAATCGTCTGAATAAGATGAAGCCTTGCATAGCGACAATTTATGTATTGCACCTTACAGTGCTGGCATACAAGCAATACGATTCTATCAACGTCAAAAATATGCTCATGCAGACTTTCGGATTGGCCGTAAACCTCAGCTTTCGATTTCGAGTTCCTCGCCCAACTTTGCATCTTGTATTTTGAGTCAAAAAACAGCGCCAAATTGGTGAAAGCGGAATTCAAGCGGCGCAGCTTGTAGAGCAAGGAGCTGCCGCTGTTTCTTAAAGTATAGTTTTTTGATATTGCTACATGTAGCGAGGCAGATTTCACGATGGGGCAACCATTGACTGAGACTAATATCCATCTTGAGCATTCAAAAATAAAGTACGTAAACGAAAATTTGATATGAAGGATTTTTCAAATAATTTTTTAGCCGGAGATAACAGAATATATGATCAATGATGGCGTTTAACTATGCAATCTATGATGAAAATTTTGGTAACCGATAATCGAATGTATCTACATCTCGGATTTTCCGAAAAAGCAGATACTGAGTAGATTTTGCTTGAGTGTCTGCTTCGTGTACTTGAATGGTTATTCGATTAGGTACAAATATCTGAGAGCCACACAATTGTTATGTTCGAAATAATCTTGTTGATGTTGCGGATATACAAACTGAAAAAAGCACATGAAAGTTTTTTTAATGTTTTTGAAAAGCTTGTAAAATTGTACTGGTAAATGTTGTGAAAACGTTAAGTTCTGCTCTCTCGAACTCTTTTTAGGCAGATCTTCTTGCATTCATTGAGGAATCGCTAGTTCATCTGCGTCGCCGGACAGGACAATCTTATAAAGACAGGAATGCTTGATCATTGTAAAACCTTCAAACATTATAGTATATCAAAGACGAAGATGAGGCAGCAATGAATGAATGCGTCAAAAAATTACGCAATTCAACCTGCAATCTTGCTCGCCTGCACGTCTAACGTTTCGAGTGTGCATCAACAGGATCTCAGAGGGCAACGATATGGTTTTCAGTTGGCAGCCACAACACAGCGTTATTAATTAAGGCTGCCGTCTCAGAGCATTCATGCGGCTCGCTCTCAGAAACCCTGCATTCGCCCTTCCCATCGTTTCCCAGACGCTGCCAATTTGACGAAGTTGCTGCCTCGTCGTCGCCTTTTGTCTGCTTTTGTAGCAATGAATGCGCTCTGCAGCTGTATTCTGGCTCATGGAAGATTATAGCCGCCCTCTGGTAGCCCTCGCTGCCCGCTCATCGCCATTTTTGCAGTATCGCCTCCAGCTCACTGAAACTGCTGTTTATGCCACCTCACCATTGCCTTCGATTGTCTGAGATAGGCTGTACCACAGCGGACGCTGCCCCATAACGCGCTCTCTCTCACAATTCACAAGGAGAGCACGATAAAATGGAAAGTCTTAATACTGAAGATTTGATAGCTTGCAGATGAAGCAGATTTTTGCAAAGAAGCGCTTTGCTGTCTCTTCAGAGTTCCTTTAAAAAGTTTCCAGCTTAGTATAAATGTTGTATATTGTACCCCAAATATAAAAATTCCACTTTTGAGGCCCAGCACTCTATCCACCTTTCTGCAGCAAATTTGCGCTCTCTTATCTATGTAATTTCTGGACGAAGACCTTCGTGATGATTGGGATGGCGATGATTGTGATGAGCAAAGCGCACCGCTAGTTGCCTACACAAGTACAGTCATAACCAAGATCAAGCATAGTCGACTACATAAGTACAATCTTAACCAGGATCAAGCTTGGGATGTAGCGCACCACTTAGTGGCCGTTCTAGGTGATACCGATGTTATCGATAACATGATATTCATAGCAATCAAGACCTTATAAAGGGTCGTTCACGTGTGTGCGTATGTGTGTGTGTGTGTGTGTGTGTGTGTGTGTGTGTGTATGTATGTATGTATGTATGTGTGTATGTATGTATGTGTGTATGTGTGTATGTGTGTACAGTCGAGTAGATTCAGCGGTAAATATAGTGTGCTTGCACAGAAGATGAGATGAGATGAGATGAGATGCGGTAAAAATTGAGCGTGAAGAAATAGCTTCGACTGTGACGCCGGCCAATTGCGCGCGCACGATTCCCGCAGTACTGGCGTGGCTACTTGTTCACCCGCAAATTTCACCGCATTTCACCTTCTGTGCAAGTACACTATATTTACCGCTGAATCTACGCGACTGTATGTGTGTATGTGTGTACGTGTGTATGTGTGTATGTGTGTATGTGTATGTATGTATGTGTGTATGTGTATGTATGTATGTGTGTATATGTGTATGTGTATGTGTGTATGTGTGTATGTGTGTACGTTGTATGTGTGTATGTGTGTATGTGTGTATGTGTGTATGCGTGTGTGTCTGTGTGTGTTGTGTGTGTTACGAATATCGTAGAACATGTTCCAGCCAACGTTCTGAGCCCAAGCGCATGCTACCAGCTCGAAAGTCCAATATGCAAAAGCACGGGTGGATTCGCTGAGTGAATCCCTCCAAAATTGTGCGCTAAACGGATACTCCTGGCTTCTGGACAGCAAAACTGGACCTGTTTTTGCGATGTCATGAATTTGCTTAGCAAGTTAATGTGGAAGCCATAGATTTTCGCCCAGAAAATTGAACCAAAGTTGATTATTTTACGAAAATGGCGCGAAAAAGATTAGTTGCAAAAAGGTTCAGTTTGCCAAGATTTTACCTTACCATCTGAGAAGATTTTGCACAGAGATGTAGCACACGGTGATTACTGTACTTATGGCGACTACCAAGGCAAAAAAGTCCAAAAAACTGATTCAGATTTGCACATTCTTCCCGGGAAAAGTTATAACAGGAGAATACCAATCTCCCAAAAAAAACCATAGGATTGAGTAGTTGATAGGGTGAACGGTAAGAAGTGGGACAGCTTGATTTTTCTTACATTTTGAGGTTTTTTGTTCTCAACAACAATAAGCAGGCAAACTCAAACGTCGCTTATATAAGCGACCTTCGCTTATTATTCTGGCAAAGCGTCAATGCTCCTCTCCCACAACCCTATGCGTGGCGTCTTGAAGAACTCGAACGGGGTTTTTTGAACATAGTTCATTCTTGCGCTGCCATACCGTAAGGTTATAGTGCAATTGATAAACCTTTCGAAAGAGCTCTTCATGCTCTTTCGAATAATATATTAAACATACAGGATTCCTTTCTATTAGGTCGTTTCAAAAGTAATTTCGCTTTTTTCAAAAGGACACCACATGTGACGGAACAAAGTTTTCTAAGAGATCTTGGAGGCATTCGATGCAGAATTTCATTCTCTTTCTAATGGTCAAGAAATTGTTGCAAAACAATCAATGAGCTTTCAGAAAATAACCAGAATTTGCGACCCATGCTTTTTGAGATGGTCAAGTTTCACGATTTTTTTAAAATTTTCATATCAATCCTCAGAAGGAGTTCAAGTAAAGATTCGATAGAGTAAACCGTACAGAATACAATACTACTTTTTTCTCTTTCTTGTAACTCGCCGTAATTTTTTAAAAGATTTTTTAACAGAAAATCGGATTTTGGCAGGCCCATCTCAGCCACAATCACATCATACATCATAATTTTTCGGAATTTGAGACTACCAAGATGGTACTATGAGTTAGCATCAATTTTACAAACAAGTGAGGGCTTACGGGTTCGAAATCTCAAATTTCGAGTTTTTCGGGTACAGCCTGGGACTCGCCAAAAAAATGAGTTATGATGATTTCTCCCCGGAATACAAACGAATCGAAAAAAAAACATCTGTTAGAAAGAGGAGAAATGCTGCATCGGATAGTGCGCGAGCTGCTCTTCTTTTGATGTTCTACGAGGATTTAGTTGCCTAGGTGTGGAAATCGGTAGCATCAATTAAAATTTTGTTAAAAATGTATGACAAGCTATGGAAAGAAGAAAAAAGTAGTTTTGCATTTTGTTGGGTTTGCTCTATAAAGGCGTTAATTTAACTTCTTCTAAGGATTGATACGAAAGTTTTAATAAATTGTGAAACTTGACCATCTCAAAAAGCATGGGTCGCAGATTTTGGTTATTTTCTGAAAGCTCATTGACTAATTTGCAACAATTTCTTGACCATTAGAAAGAGAATGAAATTCTGCATCGAATGCCTCCAAGATCTCTTAGAAAACTTTGTTCCGTCACATATGGTGCCCGTTTGAAAAAAGCGAAATTACTTTTGAAACGACCTAATATATTTGAATAAAAGAGCGAAATACCTGAAAAATCGCGATTTTTTGACGCAGCAAAAAGCAATAAATCAAGTTTCAATCTGTATTTTCCGAAGATGAATAAAATCTAAGGTAAGCTGCAGATGGATGAATAGAGTGTAAAAGCTCTATCAGATAGTACCTAAACATGCGTCCACCTGCAAAGAATTGAATAACGCGTATCTTTGTTCACAAAGCTGCTAATGGCCATATCTCATGACTTTGAAACTTGAGGCCACCAAGCCGCCGTGGGTTTAGTAACTGTCCCACCACCCACTCCAGCAGTGGTGCTTTGGGTGGTCTCACATGTTTTACCGCGCAGGTACTGATCAAACTTCATAAGTTATCGAAGTGACTAACTTTGCATTTCAGCAAGTATAAAAATTATTAATCATGTAAATGACCTTATATAGGAATTATCTGAAAGAGAATAACATATTCTAACATTTATCAAAATTGGAAAGTCCAATCATTCTTTCTTAAGAAACCTTCAGTTATTTCGTAAGTGCCCCATTTTTTACCGTTCACCCTAATATTTACAAACCATTCGTGATGGCCTGCTTGGCGCGGTGGGTTTTAATGTCATTATCATGCCGGAATAAGTATGGCATACAGAAATAGTGCCAGTGCGAGCCCCTGCGAAGCAGAGGTGAGGCACTGGTGTCAGATAATCCCATGTACAAGTTATAAAAACGCCAAGATATTGACGTATCACCGTATACGTACAGAGCATAATGAAAGGCCTTATCAAACATGAAGGGTATCATTTTTGCGATCAGTATGTCAAATAGCCCCTGTGAACCAAATCTAGCGAATTCTGAAGTTTTTAAAGCCACCTAAATTAATTGGCTTTTTTCAAACACTGTTAACTTTGTTCTAAAGATGAGCTACCTGCCGTTTTGTCTCAATACAAAGCTATTCCTAAAAGTCCTCTTCAGTCAAAAATTGAGTTATGAGATTGAAAGCCACCCATCTTATTTGTACCATTTTTCAATGGTTCCCTTTCAACATATACACAGATTGAGAAAGAGGACGACGTTGAACTCACTCTTGTAAAAATTACGTAATTCGGGCATGGATATATGCTCATGACGCCTCCCACGCCTCCCCTCTCCAATATTTGAAGCTTTCAAAAATTGTTAAATCGTGAAGCATAGGAGCCATTTGACACATTCCTTACGCATATATTAGTTGTTAATGCTTTGCTAGGGCCTCTAAATGATGCCTACGGTGAGTAGGAATCATGCAAATGTCTTCTGAGAAAAAACTCATGTTGGGGGGGGGGGGGAAGGGTGGTTTATCCATGTCACAACTCATACCTGCCACATCTAACATGCCATGAAAAAATAGCCTAGCAACTTACCAAGCACCTCAGCCGCTGTTTCAACATCTTTGAAGGTAGCTAGTCGCAACGTCATTATTTTGCATAGTCGCTCAGCCTGTTCCTGTGTGACGAATTCATTTTGCAGAATCTGTGAGGGTTTGCTGCATGATAAAGAAATTGAGCCATATGTTTTCTTTTCAAGCCCACCCAGTAATCTGAGACGCTCATATCCTTCGAGGCTAAGCGAATCATTTCTTTACGCATTGGATGAGGCAAGTCTTCTGTCCAGTGTGAAACAGACTTGCCCAGCTGCTTATAAGCCTGAGAATTTTTACTATTTTACAAACACCTGGCTCGTACGAAGATCTTGTAAAATCAAGACGTGTTTACTTTGAAATAACGACATCTTTTTTGGACTAAGAAGGCGTTCGCGAGCTAGGATCAAGCCTAACTTGGTCAGTAAACTTTCCTTCACCGCACAATGGTTAATTAATGCACTTTTCTTGTGCTTTTAACATTATGCTTTTGAAAATATCCTTTGATTTAACAAGGCTGGAAAGCGGGGCTTCGAGGCCTAATGAAAGTTAGGGAATGAGCAGTGAGCACGGTTTTGAGCGAGACGCAGACTGTGTCGCGGATGTAAACGGTTTCCTTTCAGCCACCAATCCCGTTCTTTCTATAACTTTTAGTGCATCAGTAATCCACTGCACACAGCAAGTCAAATTGTTGAGAAGGATCGAATTAATTCTAAAAGCTGAGTGCTACTTACTTCTGCCGGGTAGATTACATAGTCGGGCTCAATTGTATCGTGCTCTCCGCAAAGAACTAGAATTATGATTGTTAGGTATATTTGTTCGTATTGGTAGAAAAAATTTGGAAGTGTGATGTTGCTTACCCAAAGTAGGGACTGATATAAATAATGTGAATCGCATTATGGTCGACACTCGATAATATATGAGCTTAGAAATAAGCGAGTGAGCATGTAATCTTCATGAGCTGAAAAACATTAGATTGATTATAAAGTTTTGCTGTGTCATACGCTTTCATGGCAAACCTAAAACAGAAATAATTGCCTAAGGCAGTGTTTAAAAGGGCTAAGCAGACTCTCTGTGCTAGTACTAAAGTGCTGCCTAAGTTCTGTCCGTTTTGCAATTATGAGACTTAGAATATGCTTAGTCCTTACAAATCAGTCTGTTGGAGAAAACCATTTTTATGGGTTGAGTAATTTTTTCGCTATCACATAACTACCAAGCCTTACAGAGAACACAGAGGGGGAGTAAGCAAAGATTTGAGGAACTTCACAATGTGATCTCCAAATGTCCTTTTGGACATAGTGATTAACTTAAAAGAACTGCAGTGTTCCAAAATCAAAAGGCCGTTTATGTTTAGAAGGAGTTCGTAGCATTTTTTGAGGCTAAGGCCCTGGGCATATCTCTTGCGATTGCAGTACCGCGCGATTTACTTGCCAGATCTCTTCGAACCCAACACTCGCAGACCGTAAGTCGATAAGATGTGCTATTTTTCGTGTACACAAATTGAGTTTGCGGCGAGTTATAAGCGAGCAATGCCAAGTCGCGTCGCGAAACTGCAACCGCGTGAGGTTGGGCGGGCGTTTTCGGGCATAAAAGAAGGTTCTGAACGCGCTTTAGCATCAGATTGTCGAATAATTTCTGTTGCTTTTTTGTTTCCTCTGGAAACGAAGCTTTTCATATAAATTTGCGGTACACTTGGGACATAGCAAGGCCTCTCCATCAGCATGAGTGCTTCCGCTCACTTAACAAATAGTTTAGGGCAGTTTTGTGAGCATATCCAAATCAATTTCAGTAATTTTTCTCTGCACCTATTTGTCCTTGTCCTTTTGTCTTTCATATCTCTAGAATGTATTTTAATGCTTTTATGTGGAGGAACTCCGGTGCCTTTATTCTCTCAAACACGTGTGGTTAAAACATCAAAAAATTCAAAAACATTTCTCAATGCTTCTTTCTATGTGCATTATGTAAAAAATAATACAAAAATTTGAGAATAACTTTTTAAATTTTTTTGAAGAAGTTTTCTTTGTTAGAGTGTCAATGATTGCAAAAAAACACGCTGACATTTAAATCGTTTAGATAGAATGTCGTGTCATCCCTTCATATTTGCTAAACACTACAGGCTATGCCCTAACACTACTCATTACCATATCGTTCAATCTCTCGCTCATCAACTGAAAGAATGCCATCTAATTTACAAAACTGGGAATAAAACGATTTTTAGCCATAAAGTGGGTGTTTTGCGCATGCACCGCGGATGTGACGGTACCGATAAATAGATCTTTTGACGCTGCCCAGATGCTTTAAACATTAAATCCTTCAGAAGCCCCGGGCTCTTTCAAAATGAAATGAAAAGTATTTAACAAGCTAATACATATACAGGGTGGCCGAAAAGTATGGGCGTTATATTTTTCGTTTAATGATTTTTCATAGCAGACAAATTCCTGTAAGATTATGCATGCCAAGAACAGAGGCATCTTAGTGTGTTACTCCTGCAAGACTGGGTTCCTGCACATGCATACGGAGTTCAGCATTACCTTGAAGTTGGTGCGTTAAAAATGCTACTTGAAGAAAGTACCCATTGTAAATTCGTTGCAATAACCCGATTATTAATCGAATAGATTCCAAGACCTGAGGTTATGTAGAACACAGTCCGAGGAATAACATAGTGTCGTAACAGCAACAAATTCTTTCAAAATAAGATACGATACTATAAATATGGTATTAACTGAACGCGCCGCAGCATCTATCAAGAGGAAGTAGACCCAGGAGTCCCATTTGCATCAGAAGGCCTCAGTTCGCGTGAATTTCACTTATCTTAATATAGAGACTGTTCATAAGCTACATGCATATTGGCCGCCATGATAGAATATTTCAGGAAAAAGATATTTTACATGTTGCAACGCCCACACTTACCGGCCACCCTTATGTAAGCCTACTTGAATAAGGGATTTTTTCTACTCCTTTTCCCTTCAAAGAAGGAGCTATTTTCATCCTTTCTGCGTGCAAGCAAGGAATCAGATTTTTTGAGACCTCACTTGTGTCATGGACATCCTTATGAGGAGTGAGGTAGACTTCTTATGTCTTTGCGCCATATGCCAAGGAACACGACATACTCATCAATTCGTTTTCTCCCATTCACTTTGAATCTAGGCATTATTCAATTTCGAAACGGCGAAAGTTGATGAAATGGATAAGTATGGCGTTTTTCAATGGATTTATAAAAAAAGCAGCGCTCTAGTCATCAGCAGTAGCAGGATTTGTGACCCTATTTTTGATTTTTCTATCCCCCCTCTCCTTGTCGCCTTTCTCCCTCTCTTTCTCCATCCCCTCCTAGCCCTCCTTCCTGTCTTAGCCAAGATGGCAGATACATAAAGGGAAAAATGATATGGATCTCATGTAATGAAAAATCTTCGAAGAAGACCTTTGACGAGACGGAAAAACTGTGGTTGAGGGGGGACCAGTGAAATAAACAGGAAGTGAATTTGTTGGCGCACTCTATGGACGAGCCAACACCGCTGCATAATTCCTACAAGAAAATAGTGAGAAGCGGAGTGACTATACCACTCAAACTGCATATCAATAGATGCAACGAAGAATGCTGATTTCAAATCTGCTTTTCTGTTTGCTGGCCTTCGTAGAAAAAGAAATATTCCATTTGTGCAAGGAGTTTAGCATACAAAGAGTAAAATTGTAGATAAAATTTTAAAAACGCACAACAAATATGCGCGCAAAAAAGGCTCAAGCGGTGACTGGCGTGAACCTTGCTTGCGCGGTTAATCTTCCATCATTGTTTCTGATTTTTCGTTCGGTGTTGGTAATTGTGCTATGTTTTTGAAAGCTCTCACATCACTAATTCAAAAAATTTGGAAGATTTGTCTGAAGAAATTTGAGGTTACATGGGTGATTGCAGTGATGAACCTGTTCGTGCTGTTGCGTTGAAAAATCTTTGGCTTTGAGAAGAATGCTATACAGGGTGTCCCAAAAGTAAGTACACACTTTTCAATTGTCAATATCTCTCTTCCCATTGTGTCTTTTTCTTCCATTTAAGTACCATTCTGTAGAGGAGGCTTCAACTTGAATTTGATGTATCGCGCGAATCACCGATCATCCTTTATTACTGTAGGATTACGGTACAAACTTCGACAAGGATTTCAGGCCATTGGAGGTCATATTCTGCCTCGGAACAAAACCAAGCAAGCCAAAAATTCTTATACTACGGCAATGGAAGCCGCTGATTTCGAATTTGAAATTCCCATTTTACTTTACTGTGATGCTTTTTTCCTAAGCTATTTCCGGTAAGTCGTAATAACTCAGTTCCCAGCATTTGTCAGAAATGTAATTAAGCCGTCAAAAAAGCTGAGAACACTCGTAAAAAGTTGTGTGGTGGAATCTGCGTGCGCAAAAACCCTAGTACACGATTTTTCAGATTGTTTGAAAAAATTTTTTCAGATGGCATATTTCACAATGGTTCCACATGATGGAAGTTCTTACCGTAATCCAACAGTAACGAAGAGCGATCGGTGATCCGATTAATACTGTAAATCTAAGTTGAAGCCTCCTCTACAAATGGTACTTGAATGGCAAAAAACGCATTGAGAAGAGAGATATTGACGATTGAAAAGTTTGTACTTACTCTTGGGACACCCTGTATTTCACATAGAGGTTACAAGTCACAACTGCAGAAGAGTTTAATTTACTTTTTATCCGAAAGGTCTCGCTCTTGACGTTTTGGGACATCAACGTTAGTTGTTAGCACTTGCGACATTAAAGTTAGCTGCTAGCACTCGAGAATGCACATTGCGAGTTGCAGAAAAAACAGTCTAGTTGCGTCGACTAATTTATGGGTCATTTTCAAAAAATCTAACCAAATGTCGGAATTACACAACTCAAGCACCTGAGGCAAATGTTTTTGCAAGAAAATGTTGCAACTAGTTCACAAATTGTCTGTATTAAGCAGAAAATTAGGAAAAAATGCAGGCATAAAGGTGGTCGTACCTACACGAGTGATTAGCCTGTCTTTCTTTTTGTCTTCAATTTTTTATACATTTTAATTATGGGGAACGGAAAAAGTTGGAGAGAATATACGTATCAAATGATCTAGATGGCCTTTTCAAAACAGATATAAAGCTTTCGAAAGCATCTATACGCTCTCTTAGGCTGCATTCATACTGATCGATCCGAAAGTTTGGGAACAGTTCCAGCAGAGCGCTCGAATTGAGCGTGTGCTGGAACTGTTCTCAAACTTCCGGATCAGTATGAACACAGCGTTAAAGACAGTGGCTCGGCAAAATCAAACATCTCGAAATTTTGATATGGAGGGTTGCTTGCATCCCAACCATCAGAACAGAGCGGGTCGAGCGCGTTACCTGCTGCCTCTGCCTAGAAGCCTCTCTTATGTATTTAACCATGGCAAGGAGTGGTCCACTCGTCCAAATACAGACAGAGAACCCTTGGAATATGCTGGTTTTCGACAATTCCGTGCTTTTAGTGTGTTTTCGAAATCAGCGCATCGATTTACCTTAAGTAAGCGAAAACTTCAAGCTACAGGATATGCCAAGCTTTTAAGTACAGTACAGTTTCGAGAAAAGATAGAAGAGAAAATGCGAACGTTTATTACACAACCCAGTCTATCTGTCTGGATGTTCCAGAAGTATCATTGTTTTAATCCATCTTCTTTGAGGGTTGCTCCACGACATATCTCACTGCTCTCTTCCTTGCGGGTATGGTGGATATATTAGATTATAATAGAAAGAGATCGTCGAAAGTTGTCGACTGTTGCTGAGCTGTTTCCACGTGGAAAACACCATTATTACGCCAACTGCTTCCTGTGCAAATTTTATGAAAGTCTAATATTTTCTCTTTCGCCACCGTGATCTGACATTCAATATCGATATTTATTGCATATGAGCCATTATGATTATATCATTACATCAATGTTGAGTAGCGATCTTGCATAGACAGATCCGTCAAAATTTATTTGTGAATGCATACGAAAATATTTTATGAGCCAAGATCTTTTTGTCTTGCTGCCAATTTTGCTGTAAGGCAAGTGACGTAGCTATGGCTTAGAAGTCTGAAATCTTTTATAGTTGCGTAACAGCATGCGACGTTTCTCAAAGTATGCACAACTCTTGTACAGCCATTCACGGCGAAAAAAAAGACACCTTTTTACCGGCCCCGGACACTTTTTGGATCTTTTCGTAACAGATGTAGTCCATCCATATTGTTACCTTTCCCTGAACAGCTTGTTATCATATACCTACAAAAAATCTCATTCTTATCTGTTAGGCAGTTATTAAAACTTACACAGTCCCCGAGCTCACCGAGTGATTATCAATACAATAGTCCGGGCCTCCAAGTTTTCCAGTCATCAATGAGACGAAGGTGCATTGGAGTTTGCTGAAAAATCAACAGCAAATTTGCTCCGAAATGGCAAATTTTCCTATACTTTTCCAGTTAATCTTTGTTTACAAACAAAAATCTTACCTGGGCTGGTCTTTGGCACCCCTTGTCCAAGCCATTGAATTACACCAGGGACAGTAGAGTTTACGATAGGTTACTGTAAAATCTCCCCATTCAAGATGGTATTAGTCAATCATCTGATTCAAAAATTGCAACTACATCGTTAATTTTCTATTTGAATGTATAGCAATACGTAACTCTAACTTATAGTGTTTTGTACGAATTTATCCCAAACATACGAATTACTGATGCAGCCTCCTTAGCATTCTCGAACGTTGCGAGTTCCATGTTTGAGTCTTTACATGCCTGCACAGCTTCCTCGTAAGTTACCTTGTGGCCAAAACGGATCTAGAAATAATAGCGATAACAAAAGCACGAGCTTTTTTTCAAAACGCTGGCAATCTTCGGCTTGATTACAGGAACTTCCATCGACTGCTTTGGCACGAAGATCTCAGTGTTCATGTCTATTGAGTTATTTATGCAGTTTTTTCTTACAAGTATTTCTGATGTAAAGGTCTATATAGCGAATTGCTTGAATTGGCTAAACTTGACCAAAAATAATGTCTTCACATGCTACTGTGGCAGTGTGAACAATAAAGGGAGTATTTGAGGTATTATTTGATATAGAATCACTATAAAATGGAGCACACTTATTTCGAAACCTTTGTCCTAGGAAGTTTAAAACCATAATAAAAGATAAAGGAAAAGGATTCGGCGTTTTCAGTGCTCTCTGCGGGCATGCGTCAAAAGCACTGTTTCTCATAGTCGAAGAGGCATGAATGATGCATGCGGGCCTAGAATCCGAGGCCAAGTTATTAAGTCAGTGCTTTTCCTCCCTTTACTCTGGTACCAATTTACAGGCCCTGAAGGTTAAACGCCTTGGCTGAAACAGGGGCGGCATCGAATCCGGATGCGATCTGGTCATAGCGGCGCCTTATACCACTAAGCCATTCATCCCCTACATGACATAAGCAATTCTGTATGCCTGGAAATCGTATCTTCGTCTGACTTTTGCATCTCTTATGTGCTCAGCACCGTACTCCTAACATTGGACATTCATGCGTACAGTTGATGATTTTTAGCTGGACGAATATCGAAAATAGGTTTAAAGAAACTTGATAGCGTTTCTCAGGCTTTTGTGGCGATGATTTTTCTTGAAGATTTCGGCAAAAACTGAACAACGGAAACTATGCGTGCGAATGTCCAATGTAAAGAGCAAATGCATGAGCATGAGAGTCTATAGGATTTCTTTAGTTCGACGGTTTAATTTTTCCCGTTTTCTAGGAATTGAGAGCCTTTTACGAAATGGCTTCAGACTTCACGTAGATCAAACTTGGTGCGAATGTTTGAACGTCATCTTGTAAAGCTTGCTGCTCCATCACATTTTCCAATCACTAACTTTTGTTCACTCCACCGCGATATTGCGTGATAGCAGACGATGCGGTGTTATTTTTGAGCAGCTCAATAAAAGTAGCACATTCGCTTAGAAAGAAACTTAGGATGTCAGTGTGAGGACAGCTAACAAACTACATCTATAAGTCATTACCCGTTGCAGTCTGCTCACGTAACGGTGGGTATTTCAAAACATAGTAGTGCTTGCAAAAGAGCTTCACTTCCTCAAAATCAAATACCACCAAAGAAATGCTCAAGGTTCTTGATTATGGTAGATTCCTAAATTGTCTTTTTCAAAATTCGCATTGCGACACGCTAAAGATTTGCTGGAAACAACTGCTTAAGATTGTACAAAGAAAATCGATACTGCGTAAAGCATAAATTTTGAACTCAAAATCTTCCCATCATTACGTTTGCATCGACCTCTGACTAAAACAATTACTCCCCAGTGTGTCAATGTTGATGCTTGTCAAGCGGACATAATTGAAGTGAAACAAGGAGTAATTATGGAAAAGTGTATGGTTTGCCGCATCTATTCTGTTTGCGGATTATGTCGCTAAAAATTGTGTATAATGCATAGGCAAACTTACTATGTAGTCTAGAGCGGTCCCGTCCGTCTGAACGATTCGAATGGCCGTGGGAGTTCTTGGAGGAGGCAAACCTTCGCCGCTCTAAGAAAAATTACGTCAGCGACCTCGTGTTGAAAAAAAAACTCTGCGAAAATAGCTTTTTTCAGCGCAGTCGATTTTGAAGCATATGTCGGCTGTACAACAGTAAACTTGTCGGCATAGTCAAAAAAGAATTTTGGAGTCTTACATTCTGGTTCAAACTCAATATTCGGGGACTTCGCTTCCAAAAATTTGCCAAAGCCACCTCGTGCCGAGCCTTGTCATCAACAGTAAAGCAATTTACTATGAATTTGTAAGGTTTTTTATGATTATGTCCTGTATAAGTTGGTTATTCGGACTGTCCCAAAATGGGTGTGCGCTTTGCGCAGCGCCCTATGATGATGCAACAAGCTAATTGTAGGAGATATTTCTGGAAGGCAACACTCACCATCTTTGGTGCTGCTGGTTTCCAGACGACAAAACGATGCCCAAAGACGACGTCTCCATTGCATAAGACTTAAAGTGTTTTTGCGTCAGACTTGCTTCTTCGTCTTTTTGACAAGCATACCCAAAGCGAGAGCTGCGCCAAGTAGAATGTGCGGCGGCATTGAGGTTGACATGTAAACAACAAACACTCTGCATTTTATTGTTACTGAATGTGATAATGATTATGCGCTATAGCCCGAATTATTCTGCATTAACTGGTCGTACTCGCGGTGCAAGCTTAAACGGTTCAAAAAATTTACACTTGATAAGAGATAGAGTTTCTCTTGTACTTCTCATCCTTTACTATTGAAAGGTGAACATTGAACACCTGCGTTTGTAAGGTAGATGATAGTAAAACCTCATACGCATTTCTTCACTTACTTTTTACTGTCATTCAACGCTTAATCACGTGTACGGACAAGCTCATTTTATTGATTAGATAAGTTACAGATGCTCTTCTCTAAAAAGCAGAAAAGAGCATTCATGATTTGTTGCAGCGGACGCTATTTCGCATCGGAACCCCAAAATTTCGAAGTCGTGAAATATACTCAAGCTCGGTCTATGGGGTTATTTGACATGCTGATCACGAATATCACACTCTTTCTGCACAAGAACGTCATTTAGTGAGGCTCTGAGGATAGGTTTGAAAAACAGCACGGACTTTCAGAGACCTTCATGATACATGAAGGCCACGTTGAGCGCAGAAATCAAAGAATATTTGTCTGAAGGAAACCTCTACCAGAGTCAATGATAGATAGATGTCGTTGTATTTGACAAATGCAAAACTTTTATGAAAACTCTCAATTGAATGTTTTGCTAGTTTGGGTCCATTGTCTGAAAATGGATCTTTTAGCAGCCCTTTGGCTTTTTTTGTTCTTTTCGGAGGTATTGTGCTCAGCTTCATAATGATTCTTTTGAGCCTGATAGTGTATTTATTGGCTGGTGCCAAAGCAAACAAAAAACACATCTCAAACCAGCTCCTTGCAATCGCATCAATTTCCGTATTTATAACAATATTTGACAGAAGTTTTTGAACAAGGTAGTGCAATTGAAAGATTGCAAAACAAAAACAAAAAAAGAGAAAAATAACGCACTAATGTTCTCTTCGCTACTTAACATCTAAAGGTTAATTTACTTGTGTTAAGAAGGCGAACACCAAGAATCTCATGATACTTTTGGAAAAGTGAGTGAAGGCCATGTGCACAGCATGCGGTTGTTTCTATTTTTTACATGCGAAGCTTCATGCAATGTTGTTTAGTGATTCAAGGCCGATGTTGTCTTTGAATCACTAAACAATCAGACCATTTTAACGGTTCCGAATTGTAAGTTGTGCTCAACTTACAAGCTCAGTCCAGCGATACAGTGCTGGACATAATTATAAAGACACTCTAGAAATCGTCGTAATTTGTGTTCTCGTCGATGGATCTGTCCGAAACTTTGCTGCACAGTGCGCACGTTACCTTTTATGACCCCTCAAAACGGCGTCCAATCTTGTTGCAGATAGGTAAAAACCTGCATGGTCGTCAATGTGTTAAACATCACCGCATCCCTTGATCTAAAATTGTTTTTGTAGAGTTACAAACTAAAACAGGAAACATTTGCAACATCTGCGACTGTCATCCTCTTCAAAGAAGGATGAGCAATAGATTTTTTTGTTTCAAAAGTTTCAAAGTTCAAACTGCTTCAAAAACAGCCGGTTGAGGAGTTTTCAAGCTCTTGTTCATTTTAAATGATAGTCATGAATTCCACAAACCTTTTCGATATGAGTTGAGCGCTTTCGTAAACTCTACATAATTGCTGTATGAACGGACAGACTCCAACTTCAACATAAGTTTATCATGCTTTTGAACCATAAAATTCAATTTTCAAGCAACAAAAAATACTGGTAGTCATTACGTCGTCTGTACAACACTTGTGCGCATAGTCACGAAAAAATTTCGAAGTTGGCTTTGTGCTTCAGCCGTAGTTGTCATCCGCTGAATGCTAAGTGGAGCACCCTGCACAATAATGGCCAACGCAGATCATGAGATAGAACAGAGATGTACTTGCTGTACTTTATGACGCAAATTGGAACGAGTTTTTTCACGTAACTAACAAGTTAGCCACCATAACTAACCAACAACCAACAACTCGTAATTCAATACATTTACCCCACTTTACTGCTTAAAAGTGCTCCAATTCAGCGAGTGATAGGGAGATCTAATAAAGTGAAGCTAGTAGAACAACATGCTGAGTCAGTAAGATGAAGCAGTCATTCTATTGAACAACATTCACTATGTGATGGTTCTGCATAAATGACGATAATAAATAGAAACTTTTGAAGATAATTGAGTACTTTATTATGTCAAAGCCTCTGAGATGGTGACCATTGCTGTGATACGCCAATCCCCTTGAGCTTCTTTCCCCTCGATTCCTAATCTTCTCTACGTGGCTCCTGAAATATCTCTCTCTTAATCAACAGTATGTAGAAGAAGGTACTGGAACTTTGAGTAAACATTAAGCATCACTTCGTTGTTCCTCGATAATTCTACTTTCTTAGAACAGATGAAGTCCAGCCAGACGCGTCTATGTACCTAAAGATTAACTGTACAGCTGTCATAAACTGCTGTGTATTCAGACTTGACCGTTTCCTTGCAGTAATTCGGATCTCCTATAGAACCCCGCAAAAGCGATACGAATGTGCAGTCATCACTGTAAGATAACACTGTGCGCTTGCTCGTGATCACTAGCAAAAAAGAAATTAGATTAAAATTTTTTTTTGGATTTAGCTCTGGAATATCAAAATTTAGCTACGGAATGCCGAACAGCTGCGTCCAAGAAGAATTGAGGTTAGAATAGGCCACTCAGATGAGCCGCCTTCTTTCTCGTGTATATTATTTTCACAAGGAAACTTTAGTCGAAGTGGTCTTTTTAGGTGGCATGCATATAATGGAGAGCGTACAACGCTGGTTTCAATCTGCCTTTTTTACCTACGAAACTTGTGGGGAGGAGTTATGAGCTTCCTTAGAGCAAGTAAGTGAATGTGCACTTGGGATAAAATGAGTTGCTAAATTTCACTAGCCCTCATATAAATCAATCAAGTATGATACATTTCCATTCAAGTGTGTCTAATGAAAGAGGTGCTCCCATAATCATCACTTTTCCATCGGGACTCTTGAAAAAAGTTACCGCTTGTTTTGTCCTCTTGCACATGTAATTTTTTGCTCCAATAAAAGCTCGTAACTCCTCGTCCACAACCGTTTAGCGTGTAAGGAGGAGCTTTGAAATCAGCGTTTTATGTCCCCCATTATGATGTACTTTTATTTAAAAAGGCCATTTTGACAGAACAAGGTTCTCTTGTCAGCTCTTAACATGCTCTCACATGTAAGCCACAATCAAACGCATATCTCTATGCGTTTATGCTTACTGACAAGACCAGCGCAGAGCAAAGTTTGCTCCGAAGACAACCTTGGTTTTTCCGCATTTGGTCTTTTTTGCACATGACCTTATTGTCGATGCTCAAAGAAGCACATGTGTACAAGAGAAGAGGTCAATTTGAGTGCCCGAACTAAAGTCTGCCCCAATCCTAATCAGGCCAAAATTGGCATGGCGGAAGTCCGAGTCGCCAGGGCTTAGGTCACGGCTACAGTCTGCCTTTCTTCAATCTCTTCGCTCTTTCCAGTAGTGCACATTGGCGCGAACCCTTAGCGCTGCAAACGCGCAATTCGCCCTAACGGTTCGGCCTTATTCTGATTGGGGCATACCATAAATGCGAACGCGGCGGGGAGCTCTGGTTAGCGATAACGGCGATCTAGGAGGAAGTATGTAATTGACGCAGTTCACAAGGCGTTGTTTTGGAAAAAATACTCCTCTAATCAATACATCATTGGTTTGCAAAACATTTGATCATCGAGCAGTATTTGACTCAGTAAATCTTGCCTTCATGAATTTCAAAAAATCACATGAAGGTCAAGTTGAAACTCATATGAAGCACAAGACAATAATTGATAAATAAGTTTGTTATTTCGTTACTTTTACCGATAATCCAAACTTTGTTTGGGTTTTTCAGGAAAACAGTAATGAAAAGACACCTTTCAATGCCTTCTATCCCTTCTATCCATGCATCAGTGAAGCAGTGAGGACAATAACGCTTTCGAAACTGACCTGCATACGTGAACGTGATATTAGTAAATAGAAGGTTACCTTTGATTTTGAAAGTAAATCTGAATAATCATCTGAGTAAGAAGATCGATAAGCTACAGCTATAGGTGCGTTCCAGAATTACTTCTACGTGATCTGGCCTACCAACTACATCAGCAGCAACACTTTTATTTTCAAAGGACGCCAGCACCATCCCTTCACGTTGGCAAGAAGCTTTAGCTTTCTCCAAACTTCTCGGAGCATCTGCATGAATCTAAAATTGTAATTCCACTTTTCTTAAAATAGCGTCTAACAATGAGTTGGTCCATGTGGCCACTCATGATGAAGTGTATAAAAGTGCCTTGAATGCTGGCTTGAAGAGTGTCTTCCAATCTTGCGAAACCACGATCTATATGAGTTTATGACTATTTTCTCAGTGAATTGCATCACTGCGGTAGGTCAACATCATCAAGACAAAGTTTTCTTGCATTTTGAAATGGAAAATGGAATAAATTAGTCTTACCCTGATTTTACGAGTACAAGGGGCCCCCATTTTTTACTCGACATCCTGAACATGCAAAAAATTTCGCGACTAGCAAACCCTTAACGTGCTGCTCTTTGCTTGAAAGAATTGTGTGCGGCAGATTTGCTTGTTTGAAATGAAAAAGGCGTCATGTACCCATAAGAGTAAGTAATACATCTAAAAAAATTTTTAGCAGCACCGAACGGCCAACTAGAGCAGTACTTTTAGGCTATCCAAAAGTGCACTTTTTTTAGAAAAAACGTTCATAATTTCGCTTCGCAGTAGCTAAAAGATCCAAAATCAGTATAATCAAGAATGACCAATCACGAATTTGAAATAGTAGCAACTTTTCTGCAAAAGAACAGATGTGAATATGAAACAGTCACCGAATTCATAATGATAGACGCCATAAAGATAATAACATCTTGCGCTGCACCTCCAAGCAGTAGTTTTCTTACTTACTTGAGTAAAAATTTGACAAATTGTAGAATAATGTAATCATTCCTTCTTGATGCCCTTTTCGCGAAGGAAGAAATTCTTTACTCACTTTTCAAGCTAAAATCAATCTCCTGCTGGGGATTTGCTTTCCAGACAAATTCATCACTTCGCAAAAATCTGATCATCGCCCCAATTCTGAGAACCAAAACAAGCGTGGACCCGTTTGACCTCAATTTTTAGATCCGCTTATAAGACAGACTCGTTCTCAAGCACGTTGGTGTTGGTACCGAAGGTTGCGCAAAATCACAGCTCGAGACGTTGGCTGCAACTCGCTCTATGAATTTCGTGACAATCAGATATATACACACAAACAGACGCTTAGCGCTTTATTATGAGTTATGATACTAATAAACTACACAGGGAGTTATGATTTGTCAAAAACAAGGTTTCAAAAAACTTTTGCAATCCATATTTTTTCCGCCCGCTTGTGATATGAATATATTAGGGCATGAAAACACAGTTAACATGATGGTTTCGACCAAATTACTACCACTCCTGATTTTTGAGGCAAACCAAACTTGATTATGTTGCATAAATGATGTTCTATGACAATCAAGGAACTCGCATTAACTCCAGAAATTTCTTGCTTTTGCGCAGCTGCGTGTTTCATGACTTTGCTAAAAATCAAGGCCTCCGAAGAAATAATTGCTTTAAGCTAAATACAGCAGATAAGGAGAATCTAAAAATATTTTCGTAAAGTCCTGGAATTGCTCTATTTGATCCACACTCAACCCTCTCCGAAACTTTGAAACGAAATTCTTGAAAATTAGCCTAACTTTGAGCAGATAAAAATGGTGGGTGAAGAACTGTGGCAATTATCAAAAAAAGCATACAAAATTGCGGCAGGAAAATGTAACTGTAAGAAAGAGAAGAAAAAATTGCATCGAATGCACTTTGAAACTCATTTAGGTCTTTACTGTGCATGATTTTATAGTGGTTTGAAAAAACCGACAAAACTCTCGGGACAACCTAATATTAGGTCGTTCCGAAAGTAATGTCGCTTTTTTTAAACGTAGGCCACATTTCGTGGAACAAAGATTTGTAAGAGGTTCTGGCAGCATTCGATGCAGCATTTCATTCTCTTTCTAATGGTTATGAAGCTGCTGCAATACAGTCAATGAACTTCCAGAAAAGAGTCAAAATCTGCGACCTATGCTTTTAAGCTGGCCAAATTTCACAATTTTTCTAAAATTTTATAACAGACCTCAGAAGGAGTCCAAGTAATGGATGGATGGAGCAAACCATACAGGAAACAGCACAACTTTTTTCTACTTTACAGAGCTCGTCATAATTTTTGTACAAATTTTTTGATGGAACCGCCAAATTTTAGCAGGCTCGTCTCAGACACAAGTGCATCAAACGCCAACAAGTCTTCGATTTTGAAACTTACAAAGATGGATTATGGTTTGGCAACAATTTTACAAACCAAACTAGCATTCACCGCTTCGGTTTAGCAACTTTCGAAAATTTCGGGTACACCTTGGGGTGCCTTGGAAAAGTTGGATTATGATGATTTTACCTCGGAAAACTTGATGAATCGGAAACCAAAAACGACTGGTAAAAAGAGGAGAAAAAGCTGCGTCGAATGACACCCGAGTTGCTTGCGGGTTGTTGTTCTGTGAGGTTTGAGTTGACCTAATATGGAATTTGATGGCATTTTAAAACTGATTCCAGAAACTGTAAGAAGCAAGCTAAGGAAAAGAAAAAATTACTCTGTGTCCTATAGGGTTTGCTCTATCTACCTGCCACCTGCACTTTTTCAGAGATTAGGTACAAAAATTTAGAAAAATAACCGAACTTGACCATGGCAAAAAGCATGAGTCGCAGATTTTGGTAAATTTTCGAGAGCTCATTGAACACTATGAAGTAAGGTTAGAACCATTAGAAAGAGGATGAAATGCTGCATCGAATGCTTTTAAGATCTCTCAAAAATCTTGATTCCATGAAATGCGGCGTTCATTCGAAAAAAGCGACATTACTTTCGGAACGACCTAATAGATGAATCTGTGTTGTATTGTAAATGGTTTGCTGCTTCTGATGGTTTTTATCGCATTTAGAAATGTAAACTTTTCAGAAACTTATCGCACGTCAAGTTGAGGATTCGCAAAACGGACATTTATTTTGCATCGACGTAGTAAGATTACGTTCACGCCCACTTAAGCTCTCAGACAATCGCCGGGGGCAGGCGGGCACCGGAAAAATAGATTGCTGATTTCTCGCACCCCGCTCGCGGATTTTTTGGAAAGCAATCAGGACTTTTCGGAAGACCGCTTGCTGAATTCTCGATTCCTCAGAGATTTAGCAATATATCTGCAAAAGATAAGAGCGAAAAAAAATTCAACAAGCGGTCTCTCAAAAATTCGCTGACTCAGCAAGCGGTCTTCCGAAAAGTCCTGATTGCTTTGCAAAAAATCCGCGAGCGGGGTGCGAGAAATCAGCAATCTATTTTTCCGGTGCCCGCCTGCCCCCAGCGATTGTCTGAGCTTCTGTCAGCTTTATGTATTAGATTTTCTCATAATTGATGCACGTCTTTCTGACCTCTTTCTAAAAGAGCTGGTTTTCAAAGAAAAAACATTTTTCCTTGAAACCCTTTACAGTATCAAAAAAGCTGATTCCTCTAGTTTCTAAAGTGTGCTTTCGTTTTCGCAAATCTTTGTTGAAGCCGAAGTTCCATGCCTTCAAAGACGAGTGATTAAATTTTGAAAATCTTTCCCTTCACTCTTCTTGCTCTGAATACACGAAAAACAGATTCTCTACAAAAAATATGCGAAACGATTGCGAAGCTTTGTGCTAAAAACGTTTGTCAGTATGAAATTTTTGAGAGACTCAGCCTGAGAAATCTTGTCCCAAACTTGACTGATCGCTGAGGCCCATCTAAGCTGCATAAAAATCTCAAGCAATAAGCGACTGTACAAATTTCGCTATATACGTAGAGTAAACCTAGTACAACTAATGCTAGAAAAAACGCAGCATTTCATTGTCTTTTCGTAGAGAAAAAATTTAAAAAATCCCAAAAAGGCAGTTTTTGGATCTTCCAAAACACTGAAAAAAATGGGTACCATTTTTTTTGCAAAATTTTCTCACAGAAATATGCCGTAAAATCTTAAACTTCACTCCTTTGCACAACCGACCATCGGCTATATAATGAGCGAAGTCCGCGCGATCCTAGTATATTTGAGCAAAAGTTAAGCTCTCTCAAAGTATAGGTTTCTAAAAAAAATGTTCGGAAATTTTTTAGGCTATAAAATCTTTCTTATGGCTGCGATCCAACAAAAGCATGCGTTCTATAGTCAAAAGTTTGTTGTTTGCAGTAACCTTTATTGCTCTCAAAAAGATGGTTTGGAAAAAGAGTTACTTGATTAGAAGTTGAAATTCATAAAACGTGCATTAATTATGAGACAACCTAATATTTTAAACAGAATTATTTTTGAAGGAATTTTTAAGAGGGGATGTCGTAGACTGGCTTTGTCAATCAATACCGGTTTCATCGATTTTTTGCAATGAGCTGGGCTGATGTTTGCACAAGGAAGTACGGTCCACGATTGCTGCTAGCCCCGCTCTGCGCCCCTAACTTGTGGCACGCATGGTCAATTTAAGTAAGATGTATCTAACAACATGTTGACCTTGTGAGTAACCCATGTTAGCCGCGTGACTCTTGTCACAGACGGAGGTATAGTAATTGTGGAGCGCACGATAAGTGAAGTGCTAAATACATGGATACTTTGCGAACAATGAAATACGATAATGGGATTCGGCAAAAGGTGAGAAGCATACTGATTTACAAAAAGCGTGAGGCAGAAAGCTGGTATATAAAAGTAGGACAGAGACAAATGTGTACAGGGCTCCTAAATTGCAGAGTCAGTTGCACCAGCAGCGCCGGCCCCGCGTGATGCGTCGCACCCGGGCATTTTGCCAGGCCTCGATCGATAGCGCCGGCGCCAGCATTGTATTTTCTCGGCCATTTCTCCTTTTTTCTTTGTTTTTTTTGCTCATTGAGCCATTAGCGAGCCTTATCATAATTTTTCGAAGTAGTCCCATGCCGGCAATCGGCCTCACAGTTCCTTTATACCCCTTGGTTATGTTTTTTAGGATTCTCAGCATGGCAAAAGAAGTTATAGTGGCTTAGTCAATTCGGAGAGGTACAGGTGTGTCACTTACTCACTTACTCACTTGCTCACTTACTCGGCTTTGTTGTTTTCCATGATAGGTAATATCTTTTAACAGTCTCTAAATGTGCACGGTTTTTGTGATAGCGCCAAGTGCTAGTTATGGATCGATTATTCGTTTCATTGCGCTTTTCTTTGCTTACACTCGAACAAATGCAAACCATGGTTGCGAAAAACAGCAAGCTTTTCTCGCTACCGTTGAAAAGTCAACAAAATTCTTTATATGTTTTTCTGTAACATAGAACGAGCACATTGTCCTGCTGTTTGCAAAATTTTGGAAGTGCCCTGAAGCAGGAGTGGCAGCTGTATTACAATAGCTTTGAATGTTGCTGCAATTTAGGTGTACGACGCTCGGTTCTTCATTTCATACACGAAATGGTCGGATTTAGTCGGACATGAGTAAGTGATATACCTATACCTCTCCGAATTGGCTAAGCCACAATAACTTCTTTTACAATGCTGAGAATCCTAAAAAACATATCTAGGAGTAAAGGAACTGCGAGGCCAATTGCCGGCACGGGACTACTGCGAAAAATTATGATGAGGCTCGCTGCTCGCTGAGGGTTCAATGAGCAAAAAAAACAAAGAAAAGAGAGATACGGCCTAGAACAATGCCGGCACCGGCGCCATCGATCGAGGCCTAGCAAAATGCCTGGGCGCGACGCGGTTGCGCGGGGGTGCAAACGACTCTGCAATTTAGAATCTCGTAGAAATAAAAATAGTCTGCGGTTAACGGTCCTGATGTTGAGCTGAGACACAGAGCGGCACCGTATCCCATCCAGGCCTAGTCACAGGTGGCTTGCAAGCAAGCTGGATATCGTTTTCTGGATGGAGAGCAAAAGGGTATCGTTTTTGAGGCCACCGAAAAGACGAAAAATTGTGTTTTTTACTCGACGTTTCGTTTTTTGAGGGTTTTTATCCGTTTAGAGTTTAGGGTCAACAGGCTTCGTAAAAAATCGGGAATGTCAAGGAGAATCCCGTTTTTTGCATTCTCCAAAAACTACGTCATGCCGAGCCCTGATCCGATCTAACGTCTTATATCGAGCCTCTCCATTGCTCCAAACAGCAGGAAACCCTCAAAAACCTCTATGACTAGAATTCTGAGCACGTCATGACGAGTAGGACGGACATATAAGCGGTACGCAATTGCTAAATATTCTTATCATTTGAGCTTTTATGTGAAAAGGCGTTTTGTACCAAGAAGAATTTGTTCGAATGGGCGGAGCGCGTCGACAAATTTGGATTTTCATGGGTGGTATTTTCGTTTCCTACTCTTGCGGCCTTATCCTTGAACTGGAACAACGCAATGTTTACCCCAAAAACTGATTGCAGCCTAGCAAGTAGATTCAAATTATAAATAAACTTCTTGGCAACACTCGCATTATCTGACTCACCACGTAATCTATAGCAGAACCGTCAGATTGCATTATTCGAATAGCTCGTGGTTTTGGTGATGTGGAGTCTGCTAAATTTATAAAGTTAAATGGATTTTCTATCGTTTTTCCAATAGCGACTTATTGAGTTCCATTTACATATTGTAATTCCCCCTCCTAATCGTTCACAAGGCATTCTAAAACTGGATTTGTGCTTTGACTAAGAGCTGTATCACAGTAACGAACAAAACCGAAGCCTTTGCGCAAGCCTAAAATAAATAGGAAATGTATTTGTGTAAGCCAAGCCCGAAATGAAGACAGAATGAATTGAATCGGAGAAGTGAAGTCGACATTCCCTCCCTCCCCCTTAGTAATTTTTCATGCACTGCTTTAGTGCCACGTAAAAATATCTATTTTTGTGCATGGTTACAGTCAAAGTTTACTAAACTTACGGCTGCTTATTGCTAAACGGCTTTTCAATAAAATTTTAGCAACTTTTGATTTTGTATCTACTGGAATAAAATGAATAAAGTTATTTTTAAGATGCGTTTCGTAATTATACGCAGACCCTTACTTTGGAGTTCTACACGGAAAGGTGTATAAAAAATGTCAGCGCCATCAGAAAGACTGTCGAGAACAGTACATGCAGCAGAAAAATGAATGTGTCAATTTTAGAAAGACATTGTGCGCTGCTCACTGTGTGGTTCGTAATAGAAAACTTAGGGCAAAATTGTTTTTTCTAACGATAGGACTTCGAAATTAAACAATGTGTCTTGAAACCTTCCTAGAACTAGATAGAAGCTTGAGATCTTAGGTTGAAAACATACCCACGCGATTCAATAGTCGTAACTAATAGTAAGGGGATTCTGAATGTACGGAAGAAAGGTCTTGTCAACCCAAAAGTTATAGTGCTGTGTCTTTAGAGTCTACCAGTATTGAATTTGAAGACATCTGACAAACTGCCAGATTGCCTGACGAGAAATCGCTTGAAGCGTGCCTCGGGTAGTAATTTAGACACTTGAAGTTATGCAAGACTGGCATGATGTGTTTTCAATAAAACTTCATAGGGATATCTTCTTTAAAAGCAATCTATTGACTGCCTTAATGGAAGAAATCGAAGGCAAAGTTTCACCAAGGCTAAGATTGTGCGGATCCCATATTCTACTGGAAGAACCCTTAAATAAGTCGCTGCACTTTGTATAATTCGATTCGGCCCCCTTCCCATTGAGAAAAAGGAGCTCAAAGTGGTCGACAAAGAGCATTTTAGTCCTCACGTGCGATCTCTCCCCTCCCATACATGTTTCAACACGTCCTTCACCCAGCGCCCACCCTCTCAGTATTGCTGCCACTGTGGCGGAGGCTAGGGTGAGATGGCACAACTCGTCCGCATTCTTACGCGGAAAAGCTTCTAATAAGCATTCTCAACAACCAAATTTCGGTGAGACATTGCCTCTAAATGTTTTGAGAAAAACTGGAGAATAACACAAAGACGTATGCAAAGAGGCGTTGCACAGAGTATATTTCGTGAAGGTGAAGAGTAAAGTAAAATAAATTAGAAATTTACCTCTTATCAGGATTGCAAACCAAAACAGCACCATTAGCATTTCCACATACAAAACAGCTGCATTGCTGCTCAAAGGAATAGATAGACAGGACCGCACCGACATTTGCAAGGCTGAGTGAAGAGCGAATTACTGTGTATCAGCATTAAATTATTCTCTCTTAAACAAAGTCTTGTTACCAAATCTGCATTTGCCGCTTCATATATGCAGAATTTTCAATAACCATCAATCAAAATTTCAATCTTTTCTGCATAAGCATTTAGCTTCAATGAAACAAACGAATGCAGAAAAGCGCTTCAGATCGTACAGCGTTGTTGAACTACAGAATTGATTTATTGACTGTGACAGTAACTTCCTATTTTTTCGAGGGTCTAAGAGATGCAGCAACAAGAGCTGCGAAATATTTAAAGGTTTATTGGAGACAAAAGTTCATGTGCAATCCAAAAATATTTACATTTAAAGACTTATCGATCGTTGATAAATACATTTCTCGCACGAGAGTCATCTAAATCTGAACTGATGAATTATAGATGAAAAATTGAAAAGATGATTCATTGTACCGGAAAGTTCAGCACGACGTAAGCTCCGCGTATATGCTGGCTGTAACGGCCTCGTTAAAAAGAAGACTTTGAGACAAGTAAAGCAGTGGACGAAATCACACATACAAATTTCCGATATTGATTGAACTTCGGTTAAAATTGTTTTCAAGCTTAGTTATTGAAAAGAGGAAGCAGTGCCACATCTAACACATTCTATTAGGTTGTTCGGAAAATAATGTCGCATCACGTCCTACCGCAGCAAAGTAGACACAAAAAAAGTGAGTGGGGTGACCTGATAAAGCGGTAAGCTCTACAAAATATAGCACAAACATCCAAAGAAGCTTTCATCCAATTTTTGAAGCGAAAATATCAAAAATTTTAACTGCCCAAAAAAATGTATTTCCTTCCATAAAAATCGTAGGGTCTCCGGTTTCACGCGAGTACTCTCCATATCATACGTGTACAATTTGTGGAATTTTTCGTGCTTAGAATACGACAAACAAAATAGGTTAAAAGTGCAAATGTGCTGCTTTTTTCGCTTTTTCGCTATAAATCTGATATTCCTAAATATTAGGTTGAAAACTAAGTTTTGCGATATGGCGCATTCAAACTGTGAAATTATGTAGAAGGCAATGTGAGCTAAAAGGGAGCACAATTCGTCTAAACTTTGAACACGAAAAAGTTTCAGGCGTTTTTCAAAAACTAATAAAATTTGAGAATTTTTGGGATTCAAGCTAAAATGAAGCCTTTGGCAGCCTAGACCATGCGCAGTAATCCGGATTCGATTATAAAATTTTGCCGGAGGTTGACTTCTTTGGCCTAGTAGGAAAGAAACAAAATTTAGGGGCATGTCGATTTGGCGTCCTCATAATCGAACGAGTCGATGTACGCAAGAGCTGCTGGGGACGACCGTCAATGACTAAAGAGTCCGAAGCTCAAATTCCGCCGAGACTTTACATAGTAAGGTTATTTGACTTTCCAAACGCGAATATCACATTCATTTGCTGAATTAACGCCTTTTTCCTTGTTTAGGGTGAGACCCCATATCGTACACCTACAGTAATCCTACAAAAAAGCAATTATCACGCAATTTCACTATTGTTTTCGTGATCAGCACGTCGGATAACACCCCTATGCCAAGTTTCAGCCAAATCCGTCAAACTTTGAATTTCTCCTCTTCATACCATGCACCCACCGTAACCATCACTGCGACGTCAGAATTTTTGGTTGGACGGCAGCTGCGCTTGCAGTTTACTTAATAACCAAGGCAGTGGCAAAATTTGAATGTGCCATGTTGAGTGAGAAGGAAGTTATAAGACCAGTTAACTTAATTTCCAACCTAATAATTAGCCCTTGTAGAAGGCTCAAAATTCATTATTACTAGCTGTCTTACCCGGCTCCGCCGTATGTTCCGAATAGAAAATTCCATTTCTGAACCGATCCGGACCAAACTTGGCACACATACACTTCGGGCCCCGGCGGGTGTCGCAGTCCACTTTTCGTTATCGATCGATGTCGATTTTATCGATTTTTTGCAAAATTTAAGCTAGGGGGCTGGAATTTGGCAGAGGGGTGTAATGAGCATGCTGATCACCCCCACGGGGGTGATCAGCATGCTCGATTACCCCCTGTGCCAACTCCCAGCCCTGTAGCTCAAATTTTGCAAAAAATCGATAAAATTGATATTGATCGATAACGAAAAGTAGCCTATGACACTCGCCTGGGCCCGTAGTGCGTAGTGTATGTGTGCCAAGTTTGGTCCGGATCGGTTCAGAAATGGAATTTTCTATTCGGAACATACGTACAGACATACAGACAGACAGACATACAGACAGACAGACATTCAGCTTTATATATAAGATATTTCCAAGAGTTTATATTATAGAATTACCTATGTAGGAGAAGCTTAAGGTTTCTTGCAAAGATATAATTTCGTTCCTACGATCCCTAGCCATGAAAAAACGACGAAACTCTGTGTACACGAATGTTGTAGAGAGTGTGTGCTTAGGCAAGTTCGGGGTCCCTAGAATTTCTTTCCGATTTTTGGGTACTTGGAGCTTTTCCAATTAGGCTTCAAACTTCATGTAAATCAAACTTCTTGCAAAATTTGAGCTTTATCTTGTAGAGGCGCTTTGCTTTATCAGACAGTACCCCTTTCAATTGTTAACCATATCGTAATATTGAAGAAAGCCGATGATGCAACATTATTTTCGGAAAAACTCAATAAATACTTTCTTGTTTGCTTTTACATGAGATTAGAAGTCGTTCGAATAAAAATCCTAATGCCTTCTCCATGAGAAAATATGCAAATCACACATATGTTATATTTCTTCAAGAATCACTATCTCAACCACGTTTCTATATTCCGTTTTATTAGTATATTTTATTAGTTTCGCTTGTAGCATCCTTCTGCATATTCAATGACTTCTGTTGTTGACTGGCATCTATGCGAACAGCGAAAAACCGCTTCTTTCCACAAAAAAAACTTTGTATCATCTTTCCTCTACGTGATGTAACGAACGTAACTTCGTTTCTTATCTACCTATATCAGAAAGCGGTAAACGGAACACGTGCACAGATATGTACAGTACTGTGGCGACGTTGTATAAAGAAAGGGTTACAGTGCAACTTTTTTTGCTCGCAATTCTTATAAAAGGTAAGTTTCAATTTGCTTCATCTCAGTTCTTTCGAACATATTCATGTTTTGAATTTACTAATACTGGATAGCTTGGTTATGAACATCGAAGAGTTTGCATACTTTCATCGCTGAAGGTTGTGACTCTCTCTTCAAACTTTTCTCCGGTACGGTGCATCTAGAAAAGATATGAACTAAGAGGCATTTGATCGTATAGACTGACAAATATGAAACTGCTATTCTCTTGGCCTTCAATAAAGAAGATACTTGTCGAAAAGTCACGTCTCCACCTTTATAAACCTGTCGAGCAGAAAATCAGTCCTACCAAGTCAAGGAGATGCCAGGTTCAAAAAAAAAGCACGCGGAAACTGCTCACGGAAAGACTTCTCATCACACCGAGATTACACTCCTTACAACTAGATACTGAAGCAACCAGTCGCTTTATTTCCTGTCGAAATGCTGCATATAAAGGCAGGATCGTGTATCTCTGATGGTGCATCGTTATATTTTTACTTTAGCATTACCTTGCAGTAGACAAGGCAGTGGCGGACCGAGTGGGGACGAACCCCCTCCAGGGCCCGGCGCAGATAGTCTGGGGTCAAACTGGACTTCGTTTTTAAGGCTCCCGCCAGAGTGCCGAAGTTATGCCAGCGCTACGCCAGCATTTCGATCGATACACGTGTATTTCGTTGGGGACGTCAGCTAGCCCCGCCCAACGAAACGCACGTGTATCGATCGAAATGCTGGCGTAGCGCTGGCATAACTTCGGCACTCTGGCGGGAGCCTAAAGTTAGAAGCAATGGGGATATCGTTTTTACAAGGTCCTGGGGGAAGCGCCGACAGAAGAACGACGAACATGTCAGGTTATATGAGTTGAACGTGTTCTTTCGCAAGCGCGCGAATTTCAAACGCAAGACTGAAACAAACAAACGGCTTGTTTATAGCGCATAAACAGTCACATGGCTCCGAATCTTGATCTATGTGTATACAAAATTATTCCAAACTATGTTACGTAAAAAGTTCCCAAAACTTATGTGTCCTAATATCCGTTCCCGAATTTGTTGGTTTCTAGACCAACACCAAACCAACTGGGTTGGTCCGGAGCGTAAATATCGGAGAGTTCACATAAGTTTTGGCTCTTTTTGATTTGGACGATTAGAACGGTCAAAAATCTATCATACAGTGAAGAGAGTGAATCAAAACATTCCCTCTCCTCCTTTTTTGAGCCAAAAGTAGTGCAAATCTATGCGTTGATAGATAGTGCGCTCCAATCACACGCAATGTCCTTTGAACTATGTGGCGAAAAATGCATCGGCAGATCGCTGAGGCCACAGATTTGGTTGGTCTAGGAGATTTTCGACATTCTGAGCACTAAAATGGTACCCTACCCAATGACAGAGCCTTTAATTAACTCGAAATGTTTTCTTTTTGCTTTTTTGTTATATTAGGTATCTCAAAATGCGCTTTTTTCGCTTTTTTTTTGTTATTTTGATTGAATAAGGGTTTCCCTATCAATTTTTACCTCAAGAGGGACTTCGTGAATTTTTACGAAATCATGGGGGACTTCGTTTCCAAAAATGCTCCAAACCAACGCATGCCGGGCCCTGGCCCCCTCCTCCCCCCCCCCCCCCCCCCGAGAATGGGTGCGAAATTTTTGAAAGTTACTTTTATGGGTTATAAAATGTGCAAGTGACTTGCTTATACTTGTAAATAATTAAAATAATTTTTGCAATTTTTTAAAAATCCAAATTAGCCTTGTGAAAAAAATTTTTTCGGGGGCGTCCCCTTTTTCCAGATTTTAGGGGTTGGGGACCGCAAAAATATTGAGAAGCACCGCAAAAATTTTTTCGGAGTGCGTGGCTATTGCCACGCATCTTCATTGGAAAAAAAATTTTTGTCGCCGCTCCCCCGGTCCGAAATCCTGGGACCGCCACTGGGACAAGGTGCTTAGGGCTTGAAGGGGCCTTTGCTATTACCATGCTCCAGTGGTTTTAGTGCTATTTCATATTTCCACTACCATAACAATGCTACTTAGCAACCTTCTAAAAATTTTATCGAAGAGAGACTTTTCTAGTTTTGAAATGGAGAAAATCATTTTACTGCGCGTATCTACAATATATAGCAGTAGAACCTTTACTTCACTGATTGGTTTATATCTGAATTAGTGCACTAAATAATGGTCGAACTACTGCGAATAGCACTTCAAAAAAAGCTGGAAAAAATTACCTTAAAGCGTTTTATAAATCTTGCATTTTATATGTTCGAACATGCGTTTAGAATATCTGTTAGTTCTATGGCGTCATTGCGTAGTTCTATTGATGAGTACTTGGAATGCAAAATAAAGTCGTTGACATCAACTTGAATACTTCTTCCCGGTGCCTGTGTCTGATACATCCTCTTCCTCTTACATTGTGAAGTTTTTCACTCTGCTTTCCACAAACCCTCTCACTTCACCTTCACCAGCGAGAATTACTACTTGAGGAAAAACCCGGAATACTTTGACGTTTTCCTTCTTTGCTCTCTCACGATTCTCGACGAGCTTCGTTCCTTGTTTTAGATTCTGCGACGTCTACAACTCAGCGAACCAACGGAAGCTCTTATCTTCTAGAAAAGGAAAAAGACTTGGCTATCTGTCAAGCGGCTTTTTCCGAACTTTGCAGAATGGAAATTACATTATATCCCTAACACCATTTCTGTTCTGTTTTTAGCTAACATGATTTTTCGTGCTTAAGAGCGCAGAGCACAAGTAAGTGGCAAAAAAGGCAAGAAAACGAAACCCGCTTGATTTGACTAGAGCGCGAGTAAAAGGGCCGAGGGTCGAAACTCGGCCGCTTGTAAGATTTGGAGCAGACTCAAAGCTTATTGGAAGCTCCACTGTTCATATACACTTACAACACAAAGCTTGATATGCCTCCTTGTTTTGTATGACTTGGGATATCATTTGATCACTGAATGAAAGGCTTTTCAAGGACCTAATATACAATTGCATAAGATTGCATGTAATCATACAGACAAATTCAGCAAACTCTCTTCCAACGCTCAAACCGCGAGCTATACGTGTAAGGCAGCAAGATGGTTTCGCCATAGATTACGTAGTGAGTCAAAGAGATTATAGCAAAGGCCAGAGCACCCCATGCTCTTAGGACTACATAGTTGTTCGCGAGGCCCAGACATAAGAAAAGCATGGGTATCTGACATTCGCAATTTAAGATTCATGTCGATGCTCCGAGAAGTTTGGAAAAAGCCAAAAGCTCTTGTGAACGCGATGGAATGGAGTTGGCATCATTCAAAAATGAGAGTGTTGCTGCTCATGTAGTTGGTAGGTCGCAGACATAACAGCTAAAGACACAGCCTAATTCTATTTCGCAACTAATGTTTTTTTCTGCACGTTGGCTTCCACACAAACCCCTCGAACTCATTCTAATAGGAACAAAAGTGATTTTGCGTCTACATTACGTTATCATTTACATTTGCAGGCCAATTCAGAAAATTTTACTGCCGTCGCTGCTTCACAAAAGCATGGATACAGGGAATAGAAGGAATCGAAAGGTATCTTTTTTCTACCAAAGTTTTTTGTTTGCCAGATTTCGCAGAAGCTTTCGAATTCGGGACAAATAAGCAAGAACAGAAATGTCCAATTTTCGGCTGTTTAGCTTCCTCCATTGTTTGAGCAGCTAGCTAGAAAACTGTTAGGTTGTAAAGAAAGTTCCCAGGCATTTGCGAAATTTTTTTAAAACTGCTGTAACTTCAAGCAGATTGCTCCTTTTAAAAACTGCAAACTTCGCTGCAAAGGCAACGTTGTCTACAAGTTAAGCTCAATTTGTTGGGTCCTCAGCGCTTCATTTCGGATCACCAGCATGCGCAGTAGGGAAAAGGTCAACTTAAAATCCTGCTTGTAGTACAGGAATTTCTTAGGCACGAAGAGAGCTGGAGGGCTCACATTCGGCAGTTATGTGAAAGTCTGCTATGGCTATTTATAGACCGCGTCACAATTTTAGAGCACAATCTGTGAAAAAAATTTCCTCGAAAAAATTAAAAAATCTATTTTTGCATCTCAAAAAATGCCCCAGTTTTTGAATAAACGAGTTTGAGGTCTTCCTCTCCACGAAATGAATCAAATTAATGATTGCTGCAAATATTGTTGGGGTAATTTCTTGCATATATTTTGGGCCCAACACCGAGGCGTGACGATCCTTACAAAATCGACGCCGACGGCGAAAACAGGTGGGTTAAAAGCAAGTTTGAGAGCTTGTAATTTTTGTGCGCGTATTGTGAATTCCGAGCACAGCTGCGGTTACAAAGTACACAGCCTCCTTATTCAAAGTGACCAACCTTTGAATGGTTTTCTTTGTTCACTGCGAAAAAATGGCAGCAAAAAAAAATGTGAAATTTTCATCGTCGCACAAACTTCCTTTTTTGGTGTGTAGGTCAAACACGGCTTGTCATCGATAAAAACTGAACGCGAGTCCGGAGAGCTTGAGCTTTATCCTACAGAATCATATAAATCAAAAAACTCAATCAGAATCAATATAAAATATTCGTCGTTATGATTCAAATAGTGCGAAAAAAACGAATCTGAAATTTCCAAAACTGCCCGGGAATTTCTTTACAACCTAATACAAAGTCAAAACTACCTGCACTTGTCCTTGACTTGCATAGGCCGTGAAAAAAAGAACAAATAAGACTTCTAAATATTTTTGACTTAATAAGGGAAATAAAGGGTGTCCCAAAAGTCTTTAAGCACAGTATTTCTTCAGCTGAAACTTTACGAAGCGACATAGACACACGAAATTGGCATGCATTTCGTGAAGAACCTACAAAACAACAAGGTATAGTAAGTTTCAACTCAGTTTGGGCTGAAATTGGATTAGCGGAAGTCCGCTCCGCAACGATTCGCGCCGCTTTGCAGTCTGCGTCTCTTCATTCTAATCTATCTCGCTGAGCCAGTGGGAGTGCGGACGCTGCTCCACTCAAGATGTTTCGCCTACTCAGTGTCAAAACTGTATCCCCCATTTCAAAAAATTCTCCTTTTCTCCCTTGGCCTTCCAACAGTCCAGACGCTTGCGGAACGCACATGTGGCAGACAGATACTCGATGTTGGAACCGTCTCATTCCGAATAAAGCGTTTCACGGTGCTTATTAGCGGAACAGAGCAGGCCTTGTTTTTTACGACTGATCACAAAGAAAAGTCAGAGGCCGCTTTCGCAGCGATACAAAGCACGTCAGTTTGAAAAAAAAATATACCTGTGAGATTTAGCAAAAGTATCAAAATATAGCTATCAAGCAAACCGTAATGTATCGCCATTCGCAACTTAATATGCGTCGTGCACACTAAACACGCTAACTGACGAACAGCAAAACCAGAACCCGTTCATTTCCAGGGATTTCTGCTTTTTTCCTTGTCTTTTGTTTTTATTGATTATATGCTGATCAATAGAACACATTTCCACACTTCGTAGGCTAGAAAATGTTTCACTGGAAAGTTACCAGTAAAGGGCCGTCGCTAATAGGGCTTGGAGCTCGTAACCTCGAGTCATTTGTAACTTAATGTGTGAGACTGCGCACACATTAAGTTATAAATGATCGAAGTTACGTACTCGAATGTCTTAAAGGCACCGTCCACCCAAAATCTCGAATTCAATGTTTTTGTCGCCTTCAGGCCTTCTGATAGCCCTAATTCCGAATATGGAGTCGAACATCCGCGAAACCCCCAAAAATCCCTGCTTCGAGAACACTCTGCAACAAGCGCAGGCGAGATAAAGCATGCAAGTGGGCGGGGCGACCGGGGTCGCCCCGCCTACTTTAATACTTTCGGAGCGGATTTCTCGCTCCAGAAGCAGTCTCTTGCGGCGAAGCTTGGAGGTTTGTCTAGTATGGGGGCCCACACTAGTATGCCATCATAATCTCGCCAACCTCCATTTTGGGTGGACGGTGCCTTTGAAATAAATATTTCGGAAAAATGTGCAAGGCTTGAAGCTACAATTAGTGATTGAGACTAATTTGATGTTAAATTTATTGGCTTCTTCGAATTTTTGTTTTTGAGGACTTTTTCTCTTGAGTAGCACGACACTTTTAATATTCGTATCTCAATCCTACAGTAAGGGACAGAGAGGTGGTGAAGGTTTTGCACAGTAAATGTAAAGCGAAGCTAGTTCTACAATTTTCAGCTCCACGTTTCGCAAAAGCTTTGAGGGCAAATGAGTTCTATGTGTTAAAAACAGTGGGCATATTTCAACCGGCTTGGCCTCAAAATTGTAGTACTGTTTGTTGCAAGAGCAATGCCTTGAAACTGTAGAATGTAAAGAGTATATCTTTTAGAGCATTATTAACAATTAAATGGAAACCTCATGTGCAAACTTTTACTAAAAGTTTGAAAAATGAAAAGTGAGGAAAATTGCATTACTAGTTGAAGAATTAGGCTTGAAGACTTTGGAAACCCTTTATATACATGATAAATGCAAACTCTTCTTGCCACGCTCAGCTTCAAAGTATCGTTTAGACAAAAATAACCTGAAGAGAGGCAGCTTAGTCCGTAAATCGCATAAGAGCGCAATAAATAGCTGAATCCTATTTCTATACTATATAGTGCAATTCTTGCTTTATCATCTCCAAGACATCAATACTTTGTTTTCATAATGGCATTCAGAACTTCTTTGAGCTCTCACCACTTGACTTTTGCATTGTTACAGTAACGACTGTACGTTTCTATATCTCTCAAACGGCACTTTAGGGGATCCAGGATATTGCAAGGGAGTGGTAAGCCTCAAGCGTACGACTATTTTAGTAGTACAATAAAAAAGATTTTTAGGCGCATAGACGCGTTTGGCTTGATTTCATTTGTTCTAAGAAAGTGGAGCCATCAGACAAAGAGGTAGTTCATGATGTCTACGCACTTGCTTCCTCCTTATATATGAAGGTTGCTAGTATTATGGGTTAAGCTTCAAGACTCTCGTAGAAGAGATTACAAATTAGGGGAGAGAAGAAACAAGCTGCGCATGACCAGTGTGAATACCTAATTATTAGTTTTTTGTTTGGAAGAGTCATATGTACTGCTTTAAAACTACTACATGGTAGATGTTGCTATGCTTCATCAGTTTGGATGCAAGCTTTTGAGTCAATGGCCCTCTGCAATCATGAACAGTTTATCAGAGCTTCCAAACCCCCGGAACCAATTCAAAGCACATAGAAAGACTAAACAAATTACTTCTATGAGTAGAAATAGGAGGGTAGTGTAGAGTGCCACAAACTGATCACAATTGGAAAATGCATAAGCTAAAAGGTTGTTGAGGACAATCAATATTCAGTAAATCATACTAATTTAATGGAACATTCGAAGGAAAACATTCTGAGGGAAGCGAAAAAAACTGGAGAAACACAATACTGCCAACGTTAACAAAGAACAAGTTGAAAAACACTTTTTGAATTGCAGACACAAACTCGTAAAATTGATAACTCAAAGGTACCCCAATTTTTCGTCACATTCCTCTAGTAAACTTTTCTCAAAGCATGCATGCTCCATTGCGATTATTTTGTATGACACACAAACTCTTCATCAGTTCGAAGATTTGAGAAAAATGCAAAAATTTGCGCCTCAACTCCCTCTTTTTTGTTACGTAGACAGTCGGATTACAGCAAATGAAAGCCCCCAGCAAGATTTCCGAGCTTACACGCAAAATATTAGGCTTTCTTACATGAAACGTCGTATTACATGCCGCCGCAAATTCGAGTAAACATTCCATGAGCAAATCAAGCTTTACAAAATCGAGTAGAAACATCTGCAAAAACTTTTTTCAATTTGAAACAAATACTCAAAATTTTTACCCACAAAAATTACAGCTGCGTCTATGTAACTCCTGAAATCAAATTTGCTCATGTACCCTCTATACTGGACGTACTTTTGTGGAATCTTTCCATGGTTAGAATACGGGAAACGAAAATTTGTCAAAAGTGCGCTTATGTTGCGTTTTTAGGGTCTGTGTTGAATTTGTAGAAGGCTGGAGATTTATAGTCATACTTCCCAATCCAGTAGAGAAGCACCTCTGGGAGAAGCTCGGGATGTATTAGCAAAAGCATGCCATGTCGTTTTCTGAATTCTAGCCATGGAAAAATTGCGAAACTGTGTAGTGTCTGATGTGGGGTGTATGAGCGAGTAAAACGAAGATCGGGTTAATTTTTTCTCGGTCTGTATCTTGTAGAGTTCGCTTTCCTTTAACAAATGTACCCCATTCACTTTATTTTGGTGTTTATCCCGCCTCGCTATACCGTGATAGCAATAATGCGACTAATTCTTGAGACAAGCAGATATGGACCTGATTAAGAGCTAGAATCATATCTTGCCAAAATATATCTTCAGGCGTTTTCAGTTTGACGCATCTGGCAACTTGCCAGATGTCTTCAAATCCAAGAACTCGCAAATCAGTGGCGGTCGGGATTTCCGTTCCGTGGGGAGGGAAGCAAAAATTTTTCGAATGAATGTGAGTGGCGTCAGCCCCGCATTCCAAAAAAAATTTTGGGATACCTTTCAAAATCTTGCGGGATTATAACCTCTAAATTAGAAAATGGGAACGTGGCACGCCAAAAAATTTTCTTCACAAGGCTGTAAGTTTTTAAAGGTTTCAAAATTCAATTTTTTCATTTACAAGCTTGAACAAGTCACTTGCATAATTTTATAACTCATAAAGGTAACTTTCAAAAATTTCGCGGCCCATCGCCCACCCCCCTCCTCCCCACTCCGTCACTGTTGCAGATTACATGCACAGTGTATAACTTTCGGGGATCCATTACTTACATTACGGATTCACTTGATTTACAATGGGTTATAAACAAATAGGGTATTGCCAAATTGTATCGCCACTGAATCGTGTGAAGTATGCGCGACCCTTATTGTTGAGGTTCAAAGGAGATACTCAAGCCTTAGCAAAGAAGGCACCTTCACAGACATTTTCTAGCCTTTTAGCCACAAGAAGATGAACAAACAATTCGTTATACTCGTAAGCAGAATCTACCAAATTCGGCTGCACTTCGCGACCATAATCAAAAGAAGCTGCGAAAATTTACGGAAATTCATATGTTTGAGAAACAATGTACACCCATATTTTATGCCGCTTCTGTGCCACGAGGACTGAGGTTGCGCAGAACAAAACAAAGTAGCAAATTTCGTCCTTTCTCGTATGGTTTTTTCGAGATTTACTACACAAATTTATTGCGTAGCTCAGCTTCTATCCAATATTTAGTGCTATCCAAGCACTCTGCTTGTACGCCCTCTATAATATGAAACTGCCTTTTCTTTCGCTATTTTATCTCTCTTTTCTCGTCTTTTCTTCCCACGACTCACATATCGTTCGCTGATTGTCTTAAAGTCGTGCTTTCATGAACTTAAAGCTTCCATCAAAAAGACATTGTTTTCAGGAATTTATGCCACCTGATGTTGGGTCATGGTTACATGCAACGCTCAGCGCGATCAAGAAGCAACACGAAAGCTTTTGGCGAACTATGAATGGGTTATTTGCTTTAACTATTCCTTTTATATGATTTCATTGTATATTTTCCGGAGCTTCTGCGTCCGACTTTATTCTTTTTTGAAGCCAGTACCTAATCTCAGGGTTCAGGCGTTTCTATACTTATGGACCACTTGCATATCGTTTTACTTCGCCCTCGGCCGATGTAGGAGCTATACTTGATGTACACATTGTTACATAGAACGCATGGAAATAATCGGAACTATGGTGGTTGTTGTACTGCAAGACTATATTGAGATAAAAAAATTGATTAGCTAAGACGTTATTTTTTTTTTCAACATTGGTTCACGCAACAAGAAGTACACAGTACACTACTCGTTAGAGCAAGCCAAGCAAGTTTGTTTATAAGCCCTATCAAGTCATTATATTAGGTTATATGGAATGGCATTGATTAAAGAGTCCGTCGCTTTATCAAGTCAACATTCGAATACCCCAAAATATTTCTTCAGATTTGGGGCTAACGAGAAGGAGTGGGGTGGGGGGGGGGGGGTAAGAAAGCATAATCGCGAAGACAGTGAAGCAGGAAATTGTAGAGGAACGAATTTCGCCACCTTTGCACATGCTGTTGATCATGGAAGACTTTAATCCGCAACGGAGAGGATATTGATTTTTTTCGAAAGGAATTGGCATGAACAGGGTGTTTCAAAAGTCTTTGAGTTTTCTCAGATGAAGCTCGAATGAAGCAACACAGTGGAAATTCAATAACAGCTCGTACAAGTCGACACCTTAGTATACCTGTTCCACAGTAAACAATATTCCTTACTGATTTCCACACAAGCCCACAGCACCTTGAAAACGCACTGACTGTGACAAAGGGGTGGTCGACGATGAGCTTTACCTCTCCAAAACACGCGCTAATAATTGAACAGGTTGTGGCGAATAGCGCAGATCTTGCTTTTCACGAGTGAAACACAAAGAAAAGTCAATACTTTTGAATATGGCGTTTAGAAAAAAAATTATTGAAGATTAAGTTTGACTCTTTTGCAAAACGATTGAAATTTTGCAATAACATGTTTATGTGTCCACCTCTAATATTCACGTGTCCACGCTGGTCTTCAATAGTCTTCATTATCTTGCTGTAGCACTTTAGAGCGCACAATGCTATTATTTTCGACCAATTGAGATTAATCTTGATACACACTATGGATATTAAAAAATGGTTTTGTTCTAAAGTAACTTGCGTCATCAATGATTTTTATGCTCACTTTAGTTCTTTGGTGAAAGTAGATTTGTCGCGACGAGTATTTCGTAGTGTATTTATTCACTGCTGTTCTAAGGAAGCCGCAGGGCAACTAACTAACATGGTCACAACATAATGATCTAAGCAGTAAGCAAAGACTTCGTGCAGATGCATCCTCTTAGATCGTCGTCTTGATTCTAAAATGCATTCATAAAGATCTCTTCTAAAGTGCATTACACACCTTGTAGATATGGATGTCAGGTTCTTCAGAACAGGGCAAGTTTATGATCTGGTCTTCTTCTATGGAAACGGCTGGACAAGGCGACTCGCTGAAGAGCCTTCTATCTTGCCCGTTTCAGAAAAGCTAAGGACTATCCTACACTGACTCTTCCTCAGCAATTTTCTCGTCGGGATCGCGATCCACCCAGTACAATCCTCCACAAGTAGGACATTTTGTTCGAAACATCTCTAAAAATCATGTCAAAAACTTGAAGCCATATCATTCTGACTCAAAAGTTTTTTTTTATTTTGCTTACCTACTGGATGTGCTGCAGCTATGCTGGAAACTTCACCAAGTCGATAGCCCCTATCGTTACATTGTTTCTTGGCGTCTTCAAAAGTTGTAGGCTTTGCTATAAACTTCAAATAAAACAATCAATAAAGGCTGCGACAAAGGTTGATATAAACAACATGCTTTCTCCTTGGCGGAAACTATTCCACTCGTCAAATTCAAACTAAAAGGCCTTGGAAGATGGTTTTCTTCTTTTTCGCCATTCATAAGGGTTAGAGTTTGCAATTTATTTTTCTCTTCTGTCTTATCGTTGATGAATGTTCCTTCATGTATTTTGATCGTGTGTTCCCTCGACTTTTGTTTTTGCACAGTTTGCATCATGCCTGACTGCAACATATAGATAGTCATGATGCAAACTGTGCGAATCTAATTTTAGTGTTTTGTTGTGGCTAAAAGTTTCTTATGCCAATAAATCGCTCGATGAAAAGATTACTACTTTATGAATGGAAATAAGCAAGGTAGCGCATTGAAGTCACTGATGACAAAAGTGGAGCGAGATAACTTTTGTGGAATCGAGGGCCCACATAAAATCAAAACCTGAATGAAGAACATTAATCGATGGTGAGAAAAGGTAAAAGAAAAGAAAAAGATTGCAAACTCTGAAGAAATATTCTCGAAGAACACGAGCGTGCAGCAGATCTAGAGATACATCGATAAACAGCGAAAATGTGCCACCATGGGCGCATTTTTACTGCGACTGCTGCGGCGCACGCCGCAAGACGCAGCAGCCTGCGGCGTAGCATGAAGGAATACTAAGGTGGGTTTCCGGAATGAGAACGTCGGTTACCTCAGATAAGCAAAGAAAATTGACGTCGAGGATTTGTAGCCACTGCCTTTAAATGCAAGTTCCAACACTTGGACGCGTTGTTTACGTCTAATTCTGAAACCTTGATACATGGTCGACGAGTTAGACTTCACGCCGAAAGCGGCAACGAGTAGAGTGGTCATTCAAGGTCTTCATAAGTGCCAGAGGATCTCAAGAGGGGGCAAATTATCTATTTTGAAGTTACCTGCTTTTAGCATTGTGACAAAAAAGCCCAGAGACGGACAATAAAATTCGCGAAAACGTCTGAATCAACCTCCTGTAGCACAATGCGAACATTGTCAAAGAAAGCGTCTTTTTACAAACAGGTTTATAAAGCTTTTCCATCTTGCGGAAAAAAACTATGGAAGTGGTCATTCAAGGTCTTCATAAGTGCCAGAGGATCTCAAGAGGGGGCAAATTATGCCACGCCACGTATGCCTATGCCACTGCAGCTCTATCGATGTTTCTCTAATTCCATATAACAACTCTGTATAAATGGAATCTGCTATCGATGAAGCAACGAATTTATCTGCAAGATCTATTTACCCTATAAGTAATTTTAGGGCCATATGCACTAAGATTTCTGCGACGAGGCGAGCGACGTCCTCCGTTATGAAGGGGCCGCGTGCGAACGCTGTCGCGGGTTTTCATCATTGAAGATGCCGCTTCCCTTGCCGCAGGGATGTTAGTGCATAGCGACCCTAGAGAGTATAGCGCGGTGAAATCAGTGAAGAAGTAACTAAATCAAAACAAGTTTAATGATTGAGAATGCATCCAATTACAATGCGAATGAAGAATAAGCTATGAAGTGTTGAATCTTTTTTGAACACTGTTTTAATGTTAACCGATTTCCCCTTTAGTCAAGCCAAATTTAACAGAACTTCACTCAAAAAAAACTTGGACGTTATTCGATGCAGCTTTTTCTTCCCTTTACAAAAAGGACTTTCATTTATCTTAAAAACTTTGCTTGAATATACCTATGATGAATGGAAATTCTGGACGAATAAATGACTGTATCAAGTCTTTCGACCGTACAAAGCAGTACACGTCTTACTAGCTTTGTAAACTAAATCTGTGCAAATAAGGCTGAATGTCTAATTGTGCGTTCTGTTTATCCGCGTGTGTACGTATGTTTCGAATAGAAATTTTTATTATTGAACAGATCGAACCAAACTTGGCACACATACACGTCGAGCAAGGCGGTGTCGTGGGCTACTTTTTGGTCATTGATCGATAAGTCATCGACGAGAGAGGTGGCACAGGGAGGGGGTGGGGGTAAATGAGCACGCTGATTACGAAAATTACTAGCACGGCCGCGCGGAGCCTGGTTTGCCAATCAGTCTTAGAATGACCGATTTTTTGAACTTCCAAAATCCAAAAAGTACATGTATCACAAGTAAAAGTGAGACCTCCAAAGAAAATCAATTCAATGAATTGTATTGCACTTTTTTTCAAATTTGAATATTGCAGCAGCAATATCAAAATGGCTGTAAAGAAGTGGGCAGAGTAAGTGTTAATTTGTTGGGATGTTGCAGCAAATTCGCATAAATGTACTCTTATGAAAATGGCGCTTTATATGTAGAGTAGCCTCCGAACACGTTACGTGGTCAGTATTTTTGGTCGTCCCATTAGCGCCCCCCCCCCTCCCCCCCCCCCCGGGAATGGGTCGCGAAATTTTTGAAAGTTACTTATATGGGTTATAAAAATGTGCAAGTAACTTGTTTATAATTGTAAATAATTAAAATAATTTTTAAAATTTTTTAAAAATTCAATTTAGCCTTGTAAAAAAAATTTTTTCGGGGGCGTGGCTGACGCCACGCCCCCTTTTTCTAGATTAGGGGTTGGGGACCCGCAAAATTTTGAGAAGCACCCCTAAAATTTTTTCGGAGTGCGTGGCTAACGCCACGCACCTTCATTCGAAAAAAATTTTTGTCGCCCCCCCCCCCCCCGAGCGGAAATCCTGGGTACGCCACTGTTACGAGCTGATATATAACATTGCAAAATTTTTGTGAGAACCGCAGAGCCGACTAGAGGCAGATTCTGTTGTCCCCCTTTGCTCGTCTACGTCTCCATTTTCGCGCGCTGCTTCTCCAACCCCATACCATCCATAGCATGGATTTAATGCCTGTTGTGTCCTCCAACTTCGGACACTCTTCGAACCTTCGGCTTGTCGGCACAAAAGCAGACAGGAATATTTATCAAAAAATAATAGAACAGTAAAAATAGGGGAGGCGAATGCGTGAACAATGAACAGTAGAACTGACTGAGGCAAAGAGTCGCTCAATTTCCGCGCACTCTGAGGTTGCAATCGACTACGCAAGGCAGATCACTATGAGGAACAACTGATCATTTACAATCACAACACCTCCCCCAGTAGTGTAGTTACAACAAAAACTAGACTACGACAAAAGAAAATATACAAATAAACAGCGGAGAAAACAGTCATACCTAAGCATCACTATCATTCAAACAACTAACGAACTGATAAAGCAAACATACATTAACATTTCATAAACTAGGCTTGGAATTGTTGTACAGGTTTTGCTCTGCTCGACCTCCGAAGCGTTGTCGGTGGCGTGGAGGTGTCGTGGCCCGATGTAGGCGCTGTAGAGTCCATTGCTTTCGGCGCATCGCTCATTATCGCTTGCTCAGAACCCCCGTTAGCTGCAATGCCACTTCTCCTTGAAGGTTTATCTTCTGTCAGAACATCTAGTAATAACTTCAAGGCTTCGGATTGTTGTTTGAGTTGCTGTTGGACGGCAAGGTGTTCGCTGTCGCTTCGATGACGTAGCTGACTTGCATGCTTCTTTTTCATCGCCAAACATTACTTCGTAATTGACACGACCAATACGTCTCATTACGGTTCCTTTCCTCCAATGGAAGTGGGGTGGTTTCCATTGTTCAGCTACATCAGGTCATCGAATTTGAAATCTTTTCCAACGGCTCCATGCTTCTGGTCAAACTGATCCATCATGCGCTCTCGTCTTCTTCGTGCAAGTGTGTCTTCTACATCTTCTGTCATCGGGAGTAACAGACTTAACTTTGTGCGCAAGTTTCTGCCTAAGAACAAGTCTGTTGGAGTATTATCATTTGAGTTCGTGTTTGGTGTTGTCCTATACGCCTGCAACACTACGTTCGAAGTCTCTGTTAACCTTTCCTTCCTCTCTAGTTTCTTGATTCTGCGTTTCAGGATATCAACGAAACGCTCTTCCTCTCCCTTCGATTGGGGTGGTACGGAGCAGTTTTTATGTGGATGATTCCACCTTCGTCACACATCTTCTCAAACAATTCCGACGTGAACTGAGTACAGTTGCCGCTCACTTTTGTTTGCGTTAATCCATATCTCGCAAACAAATTCTTTGAAGCCTTCACTGTTTTGGCAGCCGAGATATTGCTCATCTCGATCATTTTAGGCCATTTACTGTATGCATCCACTATCACCAAGTAGAAGACTCCTTACATAGGTGCGAAGTCGATGTGCATCCTCTGCCACACTCAAGTCGCGGATGGCCAGGCTTCCAATGGTTCCTTCGTCGTATTCTTGGCTAATTCCTGACATTTCGTACATCTTCGTACCAAGTTTTCGCAATCTTTGTCGATATTGGCCAGTAGACGTAACTTCAAGCCAGCTTCTTCATCCTTGCTATACCTGAATGTCTTGTATGCACTTCTTTCAAAATATTTGCTCGAAGCTTCTTAGGTATTACAACCCTTTTGGCTGACATCAGGCATTGTCCCACAACTGACAATGTCCCTCGTCGATTTCGGGAATGCGCCTGTTCTCTTTTTACTTCTGGCCAATGTCTTCTCCGCACGTAAGTGAGCACTCTTCTTAGTACTGGATCCTTCTTCGTCCAGGTTTATACCGTATGCCGTATCAGATACCGTTACTGGCAGTTTTCTTATGCAGTTCTTCAACATGTGGCTAACTTCGTTCTCATCGGCAGCTATCACGACATCTTCTTCGGGACTCTGACTCTTCTTCATCAACCTTGACAATCCATCTGCTTCTCCAACTTCGTAGTTTTGACATACTCTATGTCGAAATCATACCCAAGTAGAATTGTAGTCATAAGTCGACTGGTGGAGTACACTGGAACCCTTTTTTTACCACCGAAAATGGCTAATAATGGTTGATGGTCCGTCAGCAATAGGAACTTTCGTCCAAACATGTACTTTTGGAATTTCTTGACTGCAAAGACAATTCCCAGCGTTTCTTCTCGACATGCGAATAATTTTCCCCGCTTTCATAAGAGATCGCGA